TTTAACGATGAGTTAATATATTTTTAATTTTAGATGACACACAGAATTTTTAAATAAGAAAAAATTAATTCTACTTATATATAACCAAAACTTACTAATTCTTAGCATAACTCATATTAGACTTGTAGCAAAACTTACACAGTTTAATACTATTTTAATTTTTTTTAATATAAGTTAAAAATAATTTTAGTAATTAATTTTCAATTAAAATTGCTGAAAGAAAAATTAATCATACTCTTCTGAGTCTATAAAAACCTATTGGAAGAAACTTCCAGAAAGTAATAAGACTAAAAAAAATGTGTTCAACAATTACTGCATCGAAGTTGGATATACTGTGTTATTTTATACTTAGATACCCTAATGCAGCACAGGAAAAAATCCAGACATCCCCAAGAATGATTTTATATTGTACAAACAATTTTATGTGTTATATTAGTTATTATTTTTTAATATTACACACTTAGGAATTAATCACTAATAAAATTGCACAAGACAATTTTTACAGCACATATTTGTTATAGAAAAATTAGTTTTCAAATGGATCTTTTAGATGTTAAAAAATAAGTTACTGTTAGATAAAATTTTGTGGATCGACTGAAAAAACAGTTAACTAACAGTTTTTTGATTTGATGAAAATATTTTGTAATTATTGGATAATTAAAAAATAAAATTCTCAAAGATAAATATATATTCTAACAATAGAGAAAACTTTTTCAAAAATGTACATTTGTATTAAACACTATTAATTTTATGTTACTTAATGAATGACTATTATCATTCGAGTATTAATAACATATGTCAAATGTGAGAAATTGTACCAGAAAATAATAAGCAAAATGTATATTATTGTATAATAACTATAGTAGCAAATAAATGCTAATTGAATAGAACATTTTTATTTAAATTTTACAATATTATTAATAATAATATAATTAATTTAATAATGTAGTGTTTCTGTAGCCACGTGACCCTGACGTTGCAACATATACGATCAATGCGCCCTATTACTAACAATGCAATCGAAATATAATATAACTTTCGATGCATAATCAAACTATCGATAATGTCGGAGTTTTTACTATCTCATTTTTTAAATTTAATGTCGGAGTAAAATCCGTCATAATTTTGGTAACCTATGAATCAGATGGTCGGAGTACCAGATGTTCGTAACAATTACTACTTTGTCAAATGTCGAAGTATGTAAATGTCGGAGCATCATCAGTTCGTGGCAAAGGTGCTCTCCCTAATTTATTTACTTAGTGCTATGTAATAATTAATTTTTATTTTATTTTTTTTAATTTAACTAATTATAGATGTCAATGAGAAATACTTGTTTAATTAAGTAAAAATTAATATGTTTTTCTTAAATCTTAGTGTAATTTTTACAAATAAGAAGCCCATTAACAATTAATGTTAATTCTATGCCTATTATTATTGTTTTTCTAAGGTCTTATATGATGTAGAGTTAAAATGTATGATATTTTATATAGATATAATAATGTTTTATTGTATATAAATTTTATATTATTAATGTAATACCTTTTATTTATATTATTTTTTTCTAATAAACACGGAAAGTCGTACATTGTATTATAAAATTATAAAATAGTTAATTGTTGATAACTCCTACACAAGTAGTTATTGCCATTTAATTAGTATAATAATTAAACCATTCAACTTTGTTGGATATAATAATAATGCATTATAGTACTATTATGTAAGATAAAAAATACTTCATTCATTCTTAAAAAACGTACATTTTAGATGTAAATTTATCAAACTATTCTGATCTATTCATAGAAGATGAGATTTTCTGTGAAAACAATAATTGAATCCAATTTATTACTGATTATTTAATATGTTACTAGTTATATAGAATGTTTGTATACAAAGCAGATTGATTATTAAATTCATTATATTTAATTTAATTACATATTAAATAGTTATTAAATACTTATTATGATGTATTATATGCGCAACTTTTTAAATATCCTCATCATAATGAATGCTTAACACTTATGGCAGATATATATAATAAAATAGCCTAATACTTAATAATAATAAATATGTTTCAACTGAATTTTTTTATGCATGTTATAAATCATAATATATTAATTTTAAAAATTATTTATTAAAAAAACTCGGCATAGTGGAGACGTGGAATAGTTGGTTCAAGTATAATGATATCTGACAGGGATTAAAATTACTATCATAAAAAACGCTATGATGCAAATCTGTAGACATTGTTTAATTTTAAAAAATTGATGTGTTATTCCAAAAGCTATATGATCTTCTATTTCCTTATTTATATCCTGATTACAAGTTTTATGATTTATAAGTGTAATATATTTATAATGTATAAATATTTAAAGGGAAATGGTTTTATTTAAAAATAAGTATGTCGAATGAAAGAGGTATATAAATAGTATTTATCATAAAAAATATGTATTGTTCCATACATTTTTTAAAAAGTTATAGCATTAAAAAATTTAAAATATTAAAAACAATTTTTTTTATTAACTTTGATGTCCGTTTTTACCATATAATCAAAATAAATTCTGAAATTTTTTTTTTTTCATAATAAAGTATATTACATAAGCTTTAATTTAAGATATATACAAAAGTTTCAGTATTACAAAAGTTTTAAATTCTCACTAGTTTCTGATAAATGAGTGTCTTATCAGATTTTAATCACCTGTATGAAATAGATAGGACTTTAAACAGAATCTTAGTGAACATCTGTTTGACTACACAATTTTTTTGTCCTAGTACAAGTGATTAATACATATTCTTTATAATACATTAATATACGTTTTTGGGACGCCTTTTCTCATTAACACCCACTTAAAAACCTTTCTTGACACTATAATACGCCTTCTCTAAATCAATGAATACCATACTAAGTTTTTCTTTATCTTCAAACACTTTTATATTAGCTGCCTTACACGAAATAACAACTCCATCGTTGATTTTCCAGGTATAAACCAAACTAATATTTAGTTACTGATGGCCCACTTTGTATTCTCTTATCTATTATATTTTATCACCAAATACTCATACTATAGAATCATAAACTTTATGCCTCTATAATTTCCACTTTAACTATGGAGAATACCCAATTTTTTTCACGATCACTAAACAACTAGATTTAATCAATATAATCTAATATTTTAAATAAAGACAAAAAAATTAATTTGAACTTGATTGTATTGATCTCAAATTAGAGTTTATGTGTGCCACCAATATTGTTCATTTTAATTGCAATAGATTATTAATATCAACAGTTGTACACAAAAATTAAAACATGTTATTTTCATGAATATTGAATCACATCTTTTATAATTTATTCTATATGAAACATTTAAGAATGCCTTTCTAGCTTAGATGAAGTTTTAGTCTAAATCTTATTAAGTAAATTAAGAAATTAATGAATTAGGTTATTTTATCAAGAAATAATAGATTTCTCAAAATTTTATTGATGAAATGAAATATTTCAAAAAATAAAATTTTAAAACCCTAAATATACATATTTAATTAAAGAAATCAGCGACGAATTTTGTAGTCAGACTGATCGGCAATAGTGGCTAGTTAAATAAACATATTAGGCTATTGTATAAAAAGCATACTAGCCTAATATGACCTATGCTTAAACAAAAGTTAGCCATGGTAATATTAGTTGCGCCTAGGGTGCTGTAAGTTTTCAACTGTTCCATGATAAATATTTTGACCAGGACTTATACAGGAAAAATAATCATTTCAAAATATCATTTTTAACCTATTAGTCCTTTACTAGTCCTATAAAGTTGATTTCTGTGAAAGTTTATAGCAAAAAAAAGTTGAATTTTGTTACCATGACTTTTAGCTCAATTTGCAAGTTTGAAATTGACATCGTAAAATAGAAAATTTTATGAGAATTAAAAAAATGTTATTTTTAAGATTAATATGCAGTCAGAAAATTTTATAATTACTATTTACAGTAAGTTTATCAGAAATGCTCAATATGTTTTACATTTTTATCGTAATAGATCATTTAAATAGAAATTTAAGTAATCTTTTCTAAGTAACTTTTGGTATTTAAAATATTTTACAATTGAAATATGCAGAACTTAATTAATTTTAATGATTTACTTTAACTAAAATAACTAATCAAATAGTTGTTAAAAAAATCTACTCAATTGAGCGTTTTATAAAATATTATTATAATTGTAAAAGTCCATTATTAATTCAGGTGAAACTAAAAATTATTATTTTTTTTAAATGATTCATATAGCAACATGTTACCAAAAACTTTGGAATATTATAGACGGGTAGTTCACAAGATTAAAATCGTGATCTTTTGATGTATTGGTCATTAAAATTGATCAAGTGTGAGCTAAGAAAATAAATGACAGCCACAAAAAAAACATATAGTACAATAATTTTAATATAAATAAGAAATTTCTCCTCACAAGGGGAAACTACAGTGATGGGGTCCTTGATATTCATTACAGTTATTGAATCTAAATGAGTGTTACCGACTGGGCAACTCTATGTCGCATTTGTCGGTTGATAAAAATGACATTTTAGCTAGTTCAAATCTCAAAGTTATATTTCTCGATTTAAAAAAAGCAAAAGAATTTGAATAAATTTAACTTTATATTTATGTTAATTTGATTTATATAATATACATGAAAACCAGTATACTCCCCTTATAAGGTATTTTAAAATAAAATAAAATACAAAACACAAAATTTTAACACAAAAATATCATATTTTTGAATACGGTAGCCATTTTAACCAAGAAGAAAACCTACATTTCGATTTTTTTCTTCATAGTAAAGAATATAATATAAGCTTTAATTTAAGATTAAATAAAAGTGTCAATATTTCCGGAACATTTTCAAAAATTATATTAAAAATAGCTTGAGTTGTGTGCAAAAAGTGCTTTTTTGAATCCCCCCTGTGGCCAGGTTTAGAGTCTGATGTTCAAAAACTTTATATGAAATGAAAGAAAAATATCTAAGGTTTCAATATAAAAAAAATTATTTTAATTTGTTCATTTTTCAAAAAGTTATGGCAGTTTCAATTATTAAAATGTTACACAGTGATTTCTACATAAAAATTATATTTTTCGTTAAATTCGACGGCCATTTTTCCATAGAAGAAAAGATGTCAAGACAAATTTGTTTTTTTTGAACTTACAGTATTTATTGTAAGCTCTAATTTGACATATATTTAAAAGACGCAGTATTTCTGGAACATTTTCAAAAGTTAAGTTGAAAAATTTTACTTTTTATACGTATGTTTCAAGTTTAAAACGCTCACTGTATAATAGGAAATTATACAATTTAAATAAAAAGTGTGTCAAATGAAATAAGTATATACAATGTATTTAAAAAAAAAATTGTGTTGATACATACATTTTTCGAAAAGTTATAGCAATTTAAAGTTGAAAATTTAAAATCGAAAATTTTAATACAAAAATTGCATTATTTTAACTACGGTAACCGTTTGCACGTAGAAGATAAGTCGTCGGACAATTTTTTTTTTTTTTAATTTACAGTACGTAACATTAGCTTCAATTTAACATATATTTAAAGCTCGCAGTATTTCTGGAATATTTTCAAAAATTAAGTTGAAAAAGTTGCTATTTTAAATCCCCCCCGTGAGCATGTTAAGTGTTAGATTTTTTTATAGTTATTATATTGGGAGACTTCTCTAAATTTTTTTTTTTTGATGAAGAGATGATCTATGGGAGATACCAGAAGAAATATTTAAAACGTAAAGCATCCATAAGCTTTATAAAATAATTTTTGATATTATCACTTGTTAATAGCCTGTTAAGATATACTGAAGTTTGAACGGTCCTATTTTTTCCCTCTTGGATATTTTTAAACTATAACATTTTATTTGTAAGCCCAAAAGAAAATGTCGCTATTTTTATAAGATAATTGTGTCTGTTTGTACATAAACCATGTTACAATTGTTGAGAGAAGTCAAGTGAATTTCGACTTTTAATTTTAGTATTCGATAACATAAATAGTCCAAAATTACTAGGTAGTCGATTTTTACTTTTAATACTTGAAAAGTAGTTAATAAAAATAATCTTTGGAAACAATCTAATGAAAATATTCTTGTACTGTTCAAAATAATGTATCACTTATATATTTAATAACATTTCACACAATTGCTACATGGTTTTTTAAATTTTTATTATTGTAACAGTACAATAACATTCATAAGTGTAACTAGGATGGCTAAGTCTTCAATTATTGGAATATCCTAGAATAACTAGGAATATTAGATATACTATTTTACGTTTGAAAAGGTAGTTTTAATATGACTAGTTTTGGAAATTAAATTTTCTTCTAGTTACACCAATGATAACATTTATTATTTTGATTATAATACAATGACTAAGGTGTCCAAAGTAGTCACAACTTATTTCAAATCTTTTGCAAGAAAACGTCTACTAGAATCAAAAAATAACAATATTTCCAAAATGCATTTATAGGATGGTTTTAATTTTGTTAGTCAATTTAACATTTAGTAACTTATTACCTCTTCCTTTTGATAAAAAAAACACTTAACTTTATTAAATGGGCACCTAAACTTAGCATATTAACATGATTGTAATCAAAATATCTTATGATAGTATTAAATAAAGAAAAGTTATTTGACAACTTTTAGACACCTTTTACATAAACCAACATATACTATATACATACATATATAGAGTATTCAGTAAGTAAGGAAACGGGTTTCTATTGTTCTCATTGTTTGTATCAACTGATCTGTTTCTATACTTACTGAATACTCTGTATATTCCATAATAATAATAGCTACATCACTTATTGTTTATTATACAATATTAAATTAATATAAAATATCTACAAACTATAATCAAATAAATAGAATAAAAAATGCTTCATTAAACAATATTAACAGTTTTTTCATAAATGCCAGTATAATTCATGTGATTGTGAACAGTCATATTTAAAATTCAATGTAATATATTAATAATCAATTTTATATTTTTCTTACAATACATTATTTCAATATAAAAATTAGGCAATTTTATGTATAACAATTTTCTAATTTATAGAAACAAAACATAAAAAGTATCACAAATATTTCACTTTAATGCGATGATTTTTTTTTTCCAAAAACATTTTTGGTCTACAAAAAAATCCTAACTACAGTTATAAACATAGTTTTGATCAACAATTTGACTAGAAAGTTATATAATATTTACATTTTTTATAAACCTTAACGAGAAGTAAGAAAACTTGAATAATAAATAAATTAATAATTATATAAAGGGAAATAATTTACAAGCTAGAATAGCACAATTTTCGTACAGAATATTTTCAATGTACATTTTTATATCTGGCACAGCCTTCTTGATGATATTAAGGACAAATAATCTTAATACAGTTAATAAAATATATCTCTACAAATTAATAACAATAATGGAAATGATAAGGATAGGTAATAAGAAAATTATTATAAAAAAATCATTGGATATAACAGGAATGTGCTAAAAATAAAAGATATAAAAATAAGTGCAGTTAAAATAAATAACAATCAACATTACAAAAACAAAACTATCTTAACAATTTTCCATAAAAATCAAACATTATAATACCATTATCAAGATCCATCTGAGGAGTAACAATGGAAACATGACCAGGAGCAACATCAAAGATTATAGTATCTGTTTCGACTTGAAGTTCTGGTTAATGAACATATAGGAAATGAAGTAGTTCTCTTTGCAGATCTGTAACAAATTAATTATTGTAAGAGAGAACATTTCTTATTTTTACTCATTTAAATTTTAAATGTGATTTCAAGAGAAAGTTGATAAAACATAATAAGGCTTTATTCAATTATAAAATTTAAATAAACATAAATTTTTACCTGTGAATTTAAAACTGTGTAATACACTATGTATAAATAAAACAACAATTAATTTGTGGTAGGATAGTGGAGCTACAAGATATACTTTGAGACAAAAATAAAATAATGATGCATAAATAATAAAATATGTAAATGAGAAGAAGGTAGGAGAGCATGAAATTATATAAGTTCCACACAAACCATATTAATTTAATTTACCTGGCATTTACTTGCACCATAATATCCGGTCAAGTATGCATCAATTATTAGAACCATGTCCATCACCAGTTCTCTTCTCAGGACACCTGATCAAGACAAGTTTATTTCACGATATTTTTAATTTAAAATACCTCTGTTTAATTTCAATAAATTATTTTGCCATTAATTTAACAAAATAAATGAATAAAAAAATGTTTATATTTTAAATTTTATTTTTAGACAAATTACTTATTTGTTATAATATATTACTGAGTAGAATTTAACTGTAAGTTATTTAGCAAAGAAAATTTAACTTGTCCCAAAAATTGAATAATTGACCATATTTTAACAATTTTTTCCATTCAAAGAATAATATTTTTACCACTTAATTGATTTTTAACAAATTTTGTATAGTTGAAATATACAGAATTTCTTTCAAATGTTTAATTTTTAATAAACATTTAGTCAAATTAACAAAAACTGTTACGAAATTAATTTTTAAGATCAAATTTGTATTTTAAAATTAAAATTATTATTAGGAATGACAATGTTAGTTTTACTTCACACTTATCCAACACAGTTTATGTGTAGTTTATTACTCATTGTACAGTTGTATTTATAATTAGAACTTATTGTATTGAATAAATGAAAATAAATATGTGGAAATTAAATATAATTAAGAACATTTTTTCTTGAAATCCTATTTTTAGTTTTAAGTGAAATTTAACAATGATAAGTTATACCTTCTACGTCTCATTGAAGCATTTTGGCCAAACCGCCCTCTTGGAGTTAATAACATTCGAGCATTTCCTTGTGCTGGTCTTGATCCACCATGACATTGTAAAGCAGATAAATGAGCAGCATACCCATCAGATAGCACAGTTGCCATGGTATAATGTTTACGTCCTACTTTGCCAATAATAAATATTTGCTTGGGTTTAAGATCAAGAGCACTGTAAACTGAGATATCTTTACTACTTCCATAAGCAGCATGTATAATCATTTTATTATCCTGAAAAAAAAATGTGTTTTAAAGACTAAATTTTTCATAGAATGTAGAGACATGTACTATTCAGGATATAAGATTAAAAGTTATTACTAATTAAATTATTATTATTTAATAACAAGGTTTAATGTCAACTTGATTAAACATTATTAGCATAACTTAATGTTAATATTAAATAAACTAAAATGTTAATTTTCATTATTTAAAAATACTTGTTTTAAATATGTAAAATGTTTTACCTGTACAAGATTTTTAAGATATGTAATTTTGTGAGCAAGAAAGTCAGTAGAAAGGCCATCTGCAAATGAAACTAATCCATGTGGAAAATTGTGCTGACTTAACCATGATAGTACACGTTGTTGTTGCATATCAGGTCTTCCAGTAATATAAACAATCAGATATCCTAAATCTTGCCAATGTCTGAAATATTAAAATTGAAATTGAAGAAATCTATTGTATTAAACACTAAATATTTTTAAGGAACTGTCTTAAAGTTCCATGATGTATGAGAAAAAGATATATTCACAATTATATTTCACATAAATAAACTTAATTAAGATTAATTATAAAAATATCACTTAAAGCAAAAAATAACACATAAGATGCTAAATACATTCAGTTTGATGAAAAAATAAAAAAATTAATGCAATTAAAAGAATGCCTAATGCAAGATAATTTATTAAGTAAATAAAATATACTTGTAAACTGACATTTCTAAAAATTCAAATACTTCAAAATAAGTAAATGTTTAATCATACATATGTAATTTTTAAAAACATTTTAATAGTATTAAAAATAAAAAAGAAATAGCCAAATTAAATTTTTTTTTATTAGAGTACCAACATAATAATGTGTGTTATAATGTAAACTAAATTTGTTTCTTTCAAAATTTTTAGTTATTATTTTCTTTAATTTATTTTTATTAGTTTATTAAAGTTACCTGACTATATCAACAGCTCCTGGTCTGACTTTTGGATCACGTCCAGTAACAGAAACACTTGCTGAAAATGAACCATCTATACTGAACACCACTATTTCAGTTTGAGGTGGAACTACAGCTAATAAAAAGTCAACACTTGTATGATCACCTCTATAATTATAGGTTTTATTAATACACAAATTTTTTAATATCAAAATTTTTAACATTACAAACCTTACAACCATTTTAACTGGGTAAATACCAAATCCAAGTGATTTATTTTCAGGAATTGTATAAACAACACGTCCATTTTTGTCAGAGTCCTCTGTAGCTAAGTGCGTCCATTCTCCACTACCAGGTTCTCTTATAATATGTATATCAATCTTTTCACCTTTTCAAGCAAATGACAATCATTAATTTTATGATAAATAAAACAAATTTTTTTTTAAGTAAAATAAAATCTCAACTTATATTTATGTTATTACAAACAAACTCAATTCTAAAGAGTAGTCAAAATATTTTATATTGATCCAAAATAGAAAATTGTATTCAACTTGGATCTTTTTGTTTATATTAGTAGTGTAAGAAACTAATAAAAAATGAAATTAACATCAGAGATACATGAAATATCTAATGGTACACACCAGCTAAAGAGAACATGTCAAATGGTCCATATATAAATCGGGCACTAATAGTTTGAGGTAAACCTTCACGTATAATTACATCATTTGCTCGATGACTAGCAGTCGAATTCTATAACCAAATAAAAATAAATAAAAATTTCAAAAATATTTTTCTCAATAATTTCTTTTATATTTATGAAAATTTACTTTAATTTTTATAAATGTTGTTTTACGTTGCCATTTTTCACGAGGTTGACTTGGGCTAAAACTAGCTAATTCTTTTTCTTCAATTCTAGCTGAACTATGATAATCAAATGTAACAAACTGCAAAAAATATAATAAATAATAAGCATTGTAATTTAAATGTATATAAATTTAGCATATACCTGTCTTAAAATAAATGCTATAACATCAGATGATTCCCAATAACTAGCATGGAATATATGTGGTAATGCATTGGTTGGGAAATTGGATAATCCATCAGGGCAATATAGAGCATAATCCAGTCTTTTAGAGCCCCACCATTTTTTAGTCACTAAATTATTTAAAATGTATTAATTAGCATAAAAATACGCATGGTTTAGAAAAAAAACAGTGTTTGTTACTAGTATATACTGATGAAGTGAAACTTTTTTTTAATAAATTAATTTTTAATTAAATAAGGTTTCATACATATTTTGGTTAACATTTTTAATCTTAATTTTATTTTTCACAATAAAAAATAAATAAAATATCAATATTAGTCCCTTATTTTTAAAATTTTGAAAATTCTTCGGACTCACCATCTCTAGTTGTGTGTATACATCTAAAATGCGACTACAAAAAAATTTCAAATAAGTTTAATCCATGCCGACTTGGGATTGAAAATCAATCAAAATCAGTAATTATTTAGTTTTTAACAATTATAAATTAGATTAATTTAAATTAAACAACTTATAAATTAGCACTATCACAAAAAAATGTATTGAAACTAAAATGTTAATCTAATTGTTTTGTATTAATTAGATTTTATGAGTTTTTCTTCTAAATCCATTAATTTTTCAGAAAAATATCAAAATACGTAATATTTTGTAAAATTGTCAATCATTAAATTTATATAATAATATTGAGAAATAAGTATACTTATGCATTTAAGCAAATCAAATACATTAATTTACAATTGAATATACAATTTAAATAAAATACATTTAAATTAAGTAATAAAACTCATGTATTTAGTAAAAATCATAATATATTATCGAGCTATTTTTTCAGCTATAGGAATAAAGCGATCGGTTCAATAAATTTTTACTTTTATGCTATAAAATTTAATTTTAAACAATTTTTGTAAGAAACATTAGGTTGTACCACATATGGTTTATCAGATATGATGAAATATTCTTAAATATGTCAATTTGGACAATTTTACGAGTTAATTAGTTATTTAGTTAATTAAACTAAATAACTACTCAATTTGGTCCATTTTCAATTCTAAGTCGGCACGGGATACACTTATTTGAAATTTTTTGTAACCACATTTTATATATATACACACAAATTTGAAGGATGAGTCCAAAGAATTTCCAAAATTTAAAAAAAAAAGGGACTCCCTAATCAATACACTTACGAAAGATTATGATAGTTTAACTACCCTAGAATGAAAATAATTAATAGTTAAAAGCATAATTTTTGAGTTTAACGAGGTGAGAGAAATTTATCTTTTCAGTACAATATCTAATAAGTTACAACTTAAGTTTAATTTTATATCCAAAATAAAAACAAAGATTTCAAGTTTAATTCAATAAATTTACCATTATAGTAATAAAACTATATATATATACATATAAAAGAATAATACATACATTTATTTATGGCTTGTATTGGTAATGTATCTCCAATTCCAGACATGGCACTTAAAATACTTGCTTCAGATGTACGACGAGTATAATTAGGTTCAGAAAATAATTGAGGATTTGTTTGCACTGTTTCCACTGCAAAAAAATTATACTCTATATTAAAAAATATAAAAAAAGAAATACATAAATAAATATTTTTACAATTTATATATTTTGATTACTTTAAAAATGAAAATGATAAATTACCTAATTGATATAATTTTTAAAAATAATTAAAAACCAAACAATCAACTTTTTATACTTTATAATTGGATTTAACATACTAACTATTTTTCTTTCTTAATTATATAATAAGTTATCTATGAAATATCTTACATAAGTAGTATGGCTGTCCCGTTCCAAGTGGATATTTTTGATATCGTGGAATATTGACAGGCGGTAAAATAGAAAATTTTGCTGAGATTAAGGGCTCTAGTCTGGAAGCTATTGGATCAGTTGGATGAAATAAGTTGTATATTTGCTGTAAAGCTGGACGCTGAATTATTGCTATTGCAATAAGTATCATTAATTAAGTTCAATTTTTTAAAATTTGTACTGATTTGAAAATACTTACATGATTTATCATTTTTATGGGCTGATATTTTTCTAAATGCTAATACGAGTGATAAAGGAGAAGCAAACATAAACATTTCATGAACTTCAAATTCCAAACATATATTGTTGTCACTAAATATTACAATTATTCATTAATAATCAGTAAATTATTTTATTAAACATTAGAAAGTACTTAGTAGATGATTTTCGTTTTATTGGTGGAGTAATTAGAACTTTATAAGCTGAATCACCACTTGTAACTGATGTACACTCATCTAATATGTTCAGAATCAAAATAAGACAAAAATAAAATCATGAACAGTGTTAAAAATTTAGTCTTTACCATTTTCATTTTTCTTTAGATTATGCTCTGGAGTACTATGTCGGCTGTAATCATGATTTTCAGGACTTCTGCATAATGCATCATAGCCTATTACAGACCCCATCGAATCACCTATGGTAAAATAATAATTTGAATAATTATTAAAATGAAATAAAGCTATAAAACAAAAAGAAAGACTAGCCTATAATATAAACACGACCATTAAACCCAAAACCTTCATTGGACTTAATAAATTCTCGATAAATTTGATTAGCCATTCGAATAACATTAGAAACTACTTCTATATAATCATTAGAACATCTTGCAAGTATAGGAATAGCACCAATTGGAACAGAATCATGAGTTATATTTGTAGCTTCCATAACAGATGGGGAAACATCAAAACTATAAGGACTTAATCTAAAAATCAATAGATATATATTAAAAATAAACCATAAAATAATATCTTATACTTACTTTGACAATACACTGAGACCTTCAGCGCAAATAGATGGACAAGAAATTAGTCTCATTGCTACATGACCAATCATATTTGGATAATGTTGTCTCATAACAGATTCAAAAGCACCCCTAAATGTAGTAAAATCAGACTTTTTTGCCATAATATCAGAGTTAGCATCTAAAATTATTCAATAATTAAACAATTAAATTTATTTAATATAGTTGATTAATGTTAATGTAATACCTAGTACACTTCCAGAGTGAATTATCATTAAAAGAACATTAATTTGACAATTTGTTTCTTTACTAATAACAGGAGAACCTGGGCATGTATCAATACTATAACCACGCTGTATGAACGGAGATGGTTTTTTTGTAGTAGGAGAAAATATACTGTCTTCTATCAAACAAAGTTAAAAAAAAATTAAAAATGTATAGAATTATTTTTTGTAACAATAAAATATAAATTAGTAAGGGTCCGCAAACTTTTATGGGGATTGGTGTAAAAATGAAGTAACTCATCTTAAATAATTTTTCAAAAAATCTTTTAAACTTTTTCAATTCTATATGAACTAATATAAATGCGATTTTGAAAATGCAGTAGTATATGCTTTATAGAATAATTTTGTTTATCATCAAAGGTGATAAATTTAAAATATTTCTTCAAGTCAAACTCATTTTTACTTAAAATATACTTATAATATTTTCACTTTGCATTTATCAATATTATTTTGATATTAAGATTTTTTTAATAAAAAGAATTTTAACAATTATAATTTATAATTTAATAATATTCCCAAAATAAAAATTAGACTAAAATAGAACAACACTTTTCTTTTATTGGCTCGAATAAAAATAAAATAATTTTGTTTTAAATTTCCATAAATTTAATCAATATAAATTATTTGTTTAAATGATTAGTTTTACATCTTTCTATTTTCCAAAATTAAAATGCTATAGAGGATGAAGGCCCTCTTTCATTTATTAGGGAGTTAAAGATGGTTCTTAGCTGACCCAATGATAGACGGGGTGGGTATTATGGCTGGCATGCACTAGAGATCAGACATCACCAAAGAGAAAATCACAAGAAAAATCTCTTTGGAAATCTTGAGGATCAAACCTGAGATCCAATGTGCCAAAACATACATTTATACCCCTAGGCCAGGCCGACCTCTAAATTATTTATTTAAATATTATATAAATTACAATATATATAATTAATAATATGTGCCATGATTAAATACCAAAAGAATTTTAAAAATAATATAAATTAACATGAAAAAACATATATATATATATATATATAGTAGCCAACCTTCTTTTTCTGGTAAACTTGAGGAATCAAACTCTTGCTCATTCAGTATTGTTAATGAACTCCATTTGGCAAGTGATACAATTTCTGATGAAGGAATAGATTCTAAAAATTAAGTAAAAACATTAACTGTAAAAATAATAAACACCATAAAATTGTTTTCAAATCTAATAATTAAATAAGAAATATAACGAGTTTGTAAAAATAATTAAACTCAATAAATTAAAAATTTAATAAAATAAGCAAGATTTTTTTAATTTTTCATAAAGTATTAAAAAAAAAATTCAATACTATTGACTGACCTTGACAATCAAAGAATTCATCATCATTGCTTAATTCTGAGTCAGAATCACATACAAGACTTTCCATTCTCCAGTTAGGAGCTGTATCAAAACTTTGAGTTGATCCAGGAGATGGCATTTGAGATTTGGTGCTACTCCAACTCTTTCTTACAGGTATACTGCTGTAATTTAAATTAATTTTAAAACATAATAACGTAAATTTTTAAGTGTAACACAATTTCTTTTTTTAAATTAAAATATATAATACAATTATTAATGAGTATGTCAAGTTTAGTAGCTTAGAATAATAATAATAAAAAAAAAAACTTAAAAAAAAGAAAAATTTTTTTGTATACTTAATTGTAATTGTAATTTTAATTGTATCAATTAAAATTATATTAATTTTGAAGATAGAAAACTTAAAATGTATTTAAAGTAAAAATTAACAAAATTTAAAATATTAATTTAAAACAAAAAAATAAAAAATAAATTTAACTTTAAAAGCTACAAAAGCTAACATTAGATACTGTATATATGATATGTATCTAATTATGCATTAGCACATTATCACATATTTAGTATTGATGTTTAGAGTTAAATTTTTTTTTATTTTTCAGTTTTAAATTAATATTTTAAATATATTTTTAAAAAACAAGTAACTAATTTATTTATAGCACCAAAAATGAGAACAAATTAATCAATTTGATGAACTCGTGAAAAACTTATATTAGGCACTTATTTATTTTATTTTTGTGGGGATAAATATCAAATGGATTAATATATAATCTTAGATGCTTAATATACAATTGATTATTAGTCTTCTAATAGCAATAATTGAACAATAAATATATGAAGTTCAACAAAATATAGAATATAAGAAACATAATTAAATTTGAATTAACATAATAGTTACATATTTGATGATGATGGTTGAATATTGCTTGATCTTATTTCAGAACTACTTGATACACAAGGAGTTTGAGAATACAGAGTACTATCCTGCATACGTTTAGAAGTAACAGGTGTTGCAACTTCAAGATCACTTTTTTCTATACTTCCCATTGTTGCAGCTAAATTACTAACATTTTTTGTTTCTTCTACAATATCAGTTCCTTCTCTAACTTCAGAATCACTACTATTGCTACTCATTTTTTGTTTAAGTGCTTCTTGAGTCTGCTTTTCAATTTGACGAATATCATCCATACTTAAATTTACCCATTCATCTTGCCAAGCCCATGCTTGTCTATGTGCTCGCACCATAGTTTTTCTTAATGCTAAGGAAAAGATGATTTTTGTATTACTTGTACATTCATACTATTTTTCATTTTAAGAAGACAAAATTTATATATAAAAGCCGTTTAAATTAACATACCAACTTCATGAATAAATTTTTCAATTTTAGTTTGCATGCCCCAATAACGAAATTCTACTTTACACAACTTGTAAGCACACATAATTGATTTACCAGAAGCTGTAGGCATACTTTTGTTCTAAATCAATTATAATAATAAATTATTTTAATCTAAAATATTGAAGTTATTAAAATGTATTACTTGACATTCTTTCCAATACTCAGAGATCCAGTTTTCAGGTAAAGGACCTCTTTTAGTTTTCTCACTAATATAATATACTGGATCTTCTTCTTTAATATAGTCAGCACCATAAAGTTGATCTTTAACTATGTCTATTAAGTCTAAAATATAAAAATGAAGTTTCAATGCATGCATGACTACAAAATATATTAAAATATTCATACAAATAGAGTGAAAAAGATAGTTATAACAATTACAAAATAGTTTAATATATATTATGGTAAAAATTATATTTAAGTATATTTTTACCTTTAAAAGATTTATTGTACCATTTTAGAATTGTTAAAAAACATATTAATTTTAAAAAACTATAAAAATTTATAAAACAATTTTTCCAAAAGTTTTACATAAAATTAATTGATTTAAATAATTTATTGAATATTATAAAGTTACATTATAAAAAAATATTCTAAAAAAAATTAGAAATTTTCAACATTTAATAAGTTAGTTAAGCTTAATATTTTAGCTTCGATGCGAAGCTGAGAAGGTATTGGTTTTACTATGATGTTTTTTTTTTTTTTTTTTGTGTCTGTTACCACTTTTTCTCAGCTCTCACCGAACCGATTTCTTTTAATGATACGTCAAAAGATCACAAATCGTATCTAGTCGAAGACATTACCCTTAAAAATTGAAAAAAATTCCCTCGTTCCCCGTAAAAGGGGGAAACCTCCAAAAAAATGACAAATTTAAAAATCGCTAATTTTCGAAATTTTTTCAATTTTTTTTACTTAAAAGTGCCATAACTTTTTCAAAAATAAACATATCAATATAATTCTTTTTTATATAGATGCATAATATCATTACCTTTCATTTGGTATATTTTTTTCATAAATTTAACCCTTAACCTGCCCACAAGGGGGGATTTAAAATGACAACTTTTTCACAAAAAATTAATTTTTTTAACTTAAATTTTGAAAATGTTCCGGAAGGTCTGACACTTTTATATATATCTTAAATTAAAGCTAATGTAATATGCTTTATCATGAAAAAAAAAAATTTCGGACTTTATCTTATCTTCATGGTGAAAATGGCTACCGAATGCTATTTTTGTGTGAAAATTTTCGATTTTGTATTTTCCATTTTTAACTTTATTATGCTATAACTTTTTGAAAAATGTATGAATCATTATAATTTTTTTATGAGAAGTAGTATTTAAATAGATCTTTCATTCGACATACTGTTTTTTTAAATCGGACCATTTCCCTAAATACAGGGGGGATTCAAAACATAAAAATGCATATAGAAAGTAGAACTTTTTCAACGTAACTTTTGAAAGTGTTCCGGAAGGTCTGACACTTTTATATATATCTTAAATTAAAGCTAATGTAATATACTTTATAATGGTAAAAAAAAATTTCGGACTTTATTTTATCTTCATGGTGAAAACAGACATTAAACTTAATAAAAAAAATACGATTTTTGTAAAAAAATTCTTTTTTATATTTTTAACTTTATAATGCTATAACTTCTCGAAAGATGTATGGATCAATATAATTCTTTTTTTTGTAGATGCATGATGTCTTTACCTATCATTTGGTATATTTTTTTTATAAATCTGACTTTTTACCTGCCTACAGGGGGGGATTCAAAATGACAACTTTTTCACAAAAAATTGACTTTTTCAACTTAAATTTTGAAAGTGTTCCGGAAAGTCTGACACTTTTATATATATCTTAAATTAAAGCTAATGTAATATCCTTTATCATGGAAAAAAAAAATTTTGGACTTTATTTTATCTTCAAGGTGAAAATGGCTACCAAATGCTATTATTGTGTGAAAATTCTCAATTTTATTTTTTACATTTTTAACATTATAATGCTATAACTTATTGAAAAGTGTATTGATCAATATAATTTTTTTATGGGAAATACTATTTTCTAATAATCTCTTTTTTATTCGACATACTTTGTCTTAATCAGGAGATTAATAAGGAACTAGCAGATCATGTAGCTTTTGGAATAATCCACTAATTTTTTAAAATAAAACACTATCTAAAGATTTGCATCGAAGCGTTTTTTTTTGATAGTGATTTTAATTACTGTCAGATATCATTATACTTGATCCAACTATGCCACGTCACCACTGTGCTGCGACTCCCCTGTGCTGGGTTTTTTTGTATACAATTTTTTTTTAAATTAATAAAGAATTAAAATACTTTTATAAATAGCATTTATACATACCAACAGAAACATTTCGTAATTCACTAGTGGACAATTTAAACACATTATCATGAGACCCATTATCAGGGTAGTAATATGTTTCAATTTCTAAAGAAAATTTTTCAACAAATGGGCATGTATACCGAGTTTTTGTATATGGATATGCATTCCATGCTTCTTCTTCAACAGATAATGCAGACTTAGGTAATAATCCTTTAAACCATCCTATTAGATTATTCGAATTGGGATAAGATTTAATTACAAGATTATAATATTTCTAATAAATTATAAAACTACATACCTGGTAGATGACTTCCAACATGATAAATTTTACGAGTATATTGGCCACGGCCAGTATTTCCATCACCTCCAGGTCCTCCTTCATAAGGTTCATTAACTAAAATTTCAACACCACTACCGGCTCCTTTAGTTTCTTCTCTACTTTTTTTCTAAAAAATGTTTAAGTCCATAACATTAATTCTTAATTAAATATAGTATTTATAATCAATCAAATATACATACTGCTATCATGTATAACTGAGCTATTCGATATTCTTCAACACTTAAAGGTAAAGGTATACGATATTCCTTAATTAACATAATAATGACTTTTTACCAAATAAGTGCCACCAAAAAAAAAAAATTATTGAAAAAAACACATTGCAGTTCTTTAGTACTCAAACTTCAGTAACAACACTAAAAATAAAACCAATTTTATGATTTATTAATTAAAACTTTGTCTGATTTTTAGGGATATACATTTATTTTTATTTATTTAATACGAAGGTTGAAAATGTTAATGTATAATTCAAGGACAAATATCTGTAAGCATATTTACACTGATACTATTAAAAGGCTTCATACAAGTGATATAGTTAGTATTAAGTTTGGCTTCCTAAATCATCTAATAATTTTAAATTAAGGGCAAATGAAATATTACAGGTATCTGTTTAGATTAATAATAAAAAAGTTAAGAAAATTCATAATAAAAAATAAGGATAATAACAAAAAAAAATAACATTAATTTTATAAAAATGAAATACACAGAAAGTTTGAACATGAATTTTATGATTAAAAACAGAGTGTTTAACAAACAATATAAGTTTATGAATTGTTTCTAAAATATTTACAACATAACATTATCATGATAAAAATAATATTTAAAGTTATAAAAATAAAAAGTCAATTTAAATAACAAATAAAATTAAAACCCTCAGTTCAAGAAAAGTAAAATTATATGAATCAATAATTATTGGATAGTTATTTACCATTTTTATAGCATACAGTTTAAAAATCAATGATTGTAAAACGACGTTTGAAGTAGAATTTGACATACATAATATTAATACAATATATCACAATTAATCTAATAACTATTACAAATAAAAAACAATTATCACAAAATAATCGTATAAACACAAGAAGCACAACTGAATCAGGATAAGGAAGAACTCTGTAAAGTTCATCCGCGCACCTTAGCAGTCGGCTGACCAATTTTTTCAAGTTAACAATACCTTATCAGATGAAAACCTCTAGCACAACCTGGCGGAACTGTACAATATCAACTTATTTATAATATCTATGGTTTAAAGCTAAAAGTAAGAAGGACAAAATCAACTAGTAGGTTTAATAAATTAGGCAATATTTACAGGGATTTCATTATTATTAAAAATAATTCCAATATAAATATGACAAATTAAATAGTAAAAACATGAAAAATAGTAAAATCCCATGAATTTTCTAATTTATAAACTTCTAGATTTTATTCTAAAGAACAAAAATAATTAAAAATATGGAAGTTAAATTGACAATACCATTTCATTTTCTGTTAGTTAAGTATACTTCATTAAAACTATTATTCAAGATAAATATTTCGATTTAAAATTTATCTAACTCAAATTTCTCACTTAAATATTAAAATATAAATTAATATTCTTAGGTAAAGCATTGAAATATAATAATTGAATCATTGAATTATAGTTTTAAAAAATGATTTAAACATACCAAAAACTTAATTATCTTATATTTAAAAGTTCATTAAATCATGTATTTAAGTAATACAAATTTTCCATTGGTTTAAATTAATTTTTTTCTCTTAAATTGTCCAATAATAAATACATAGCATATAATAGTACTACACAATATAATACCCATGTCATATACAGCTATTCACATAGCTCTAAAGGGTGGATATTATTAAGTAATAAAATATTAAGTAATGAATAATACTAAATGTGTTTTGCACACACGCAACGCATTATTAAAATTATTGGAGTCGAAGTTGTGCTTGGAAAATAACTAGATAAGAATTCTTTTTTGTCATTTATGTAACTTACTCTTACAAATTTTAGTAAATGCGTTTTAAATTGTTATAATTAAGGTGTGGTTGCAGAAATATTTTTGGCTTTACGACTTAACTTTATAAAAAAGTTATTTAAATTTTTGTTGAAATGTAAGCCTGTTACTTATCATTTTTATTATAGTTTTACACAAAATGTATATAAAAAACCAGATTTCAACAAATGTAATTCAGCAATAATTATAATGTAGTTATTACATAGAGAGTACTGTTTTACAAGTCTTACTTCCTCGTCGAGTCCCTGATTAATAATTTAATTTCGCAAATATTTATACATTTAAATAAAATTTTCCTGTTTTATTTAATTTGAGTATTATATTTCGTTATTTTTTCATATTATACACTATTTATATGTAGATCTACAAAACTTTCACAAATTTATAAAAAAAAATGAGTTATATATTTACTTATTTTTTCATAATAAATTATCAAAATAAAATTGAAGGTGCAATAATAATTCCAATAACTGTAATGAATTTTAAATAATTTAATACACATATTATTATATATTTAAATTTTATTGTAAATTCCAAAAAATATACTAATTTATTCCATGTTATAGTGGAAAGTCTTAAGACAGTATTATCTTAATAAAAATATTGTTACAAAAATTGGAAATAAAAAAACTATGCATAATATTATAAGTTCAATGTATGTAAACTTAATAATTTCTTTTATTATTCAGTTATTATAAAATATTATAAGAATAAATTATTCATGGACTATACAAGCATACAATATTCTTAAAATACTTTTATAGTTTTCGTTAATTTTTCAGATAAAAATAGGATAAGAAGACGACGTGCACAAGCAGTATCACCAATAATACTATTAATAGTACTTAGTTTTCATTACCTTTGTATTATTTGTACTAAAAGTAAAAAATTAAAATGCGCGTTTGGTCACAATTATTATTAGCAGCATTATTATTATTACAATGCTTATGTGATGTACCGCTACTAAGGACCGCGTCAAATAATATTTAGGCCATTCAAATATTATCAGGTCGAATACTGGGTCGATGCAGTAGTGGATTAGCGGAATGGGTAAAAAGTGAAGAGGGACGGTAATTTCACCACTAGCCTGGGCTGGTGTTTTTCGTTTCCTGCGTACACGTCATGTTTATGACGTCAACGCCGTCGCGCTGACGTCACACACGACCTCAAGAGTACCCTCATCTCATCGCCAGTCTACGATCCACCCAATCCCAGGTAATCGGTACACCGGTAGGAGGACATATGATTTTTTCGATTGTAATGCTCACATGGCCTCGATTGCAAGAAAAGTGGACTTGAACAAAAAAAATACGAATGAACGAACAAAAGTATCGGAGTACATCAATGGAATCAACTTTTTTTCAAGCCTTGTTATCTATCCAAAATACAAAATGGAGACACCATAAGTGGATGGTTTTTAATACATCAGCAAAATTATGTTTTTCGCAATTATAGTCCAACAAGTGTTTTACTTTAACGAACTATTACGTCGTTATATTTGTTGTCAAAATATATATTTAAGTTTTTGATTAGTTTTTTTGTAAATGACGTCTCATTTACAAAAAAAATGTTTAAACAAGATATTTTAGTATTTAAGAATTCAAACAGATTTTGTTCGATCAATAACATTATATAGGATAATAGGTTAAAAATTACATACATTAAAGAAAATTCAAAAAAACTTTTGACTTTTTGTAAACATAAACGAATGACCATAATTGTAAGGTGAAGAGGGCTAGAAGCTTAGTATTTAGTTTACAATTTAGCCCCTAGAAATTTAGCAATTTTATATGCAATGCCATATAATATTTAAAATATTTTATTTTAGGCTGAAAAATTCCGGTTCTTACAGGTTGCTATTATATTAAATGCAAGTTTGAAATAAAAATTTATGTGTTTATTTAAAAAAAATGCATTTAAAATTATTCTTCTTCGCCCTATCTTGTTTTTGTTTAAATCAATATCAAATCCATTATTTTTTTAAATTATTTATGCGTAAAAGTAAATTTTATGTTAGAGAAAATTTAATTAACTCTGTATAACATAAGTACTAGAGTAGTGAATCAAACCAGTAACAGATTCCGAAGTAATTAAAATTAAATAATATTTTTATAATAATTATTTTCTAAAAAAATATAAATGAGTGCTATTCAATCACTTATTTGAAAAACTATACTACAGTCAAAAATATTCAACGATTAGAAAACAGTAAAAAACTGGTTATAATCTACTATAGGCGAGTTGCATTAAAACTGATTGTTTGACGAAAAAAATATAACTAGCTTAATTATTTTTTAGTTTTAAGTAAGATTTTACAATCGTAGAGTACTTATAAACCCTTTTTAAATTGTGTCAGTATGATAAACATTTAAAAACGTTCTAGGTTCGTGAATGAATAGACTTATAATTTTTATTGGATATAAATTTATATTTATTGTAAATAATAATCTAAGATGACCATCCGACTAATCCAACAATAGTTAATATGACAATAAAATCAAGAGAAGTGAAAAATATAATTTCTGACTATTTTTTAATTACATGTTTTCAAAATAAATTTTAAGGCGGAAATAGTTTAACTACAAACACTACGCATTTATTGAAATAACATACTCTTTTTTATGTTAAGAATACTAATTATACTAATTAGTAGATTTATACTGTACAACCTATAAAAAATAGTAATCTATTAAAAATCAATTAGGAAAAAGATAATTGAAGGTACTAATAAAATATAACATCCATAAATTAATAATTACACAATTAGCATATCTTTATTGGAAACATTAAAGAAGCTGAATTGTACAACGGGGTTAAAATTAATTTTAAATTAAAAGAATTTGTTTTGAATAACACAGTTATCATTATGATAAATAGTCGTTCATATAAATAAAACATTGTTTTACACACTAATAAATACAGACAGGCCGCTTGTGTGTCGCAAATAATTTGTATTGATTTGTTGTAATTAGAACTGTCGTTGATTGGGTGTGTCGTGATGTTTTATGATACATTTAGAATAATATTGTATAATATCGTGTTTTTGAAGGTATATTTAATAAAAGTATTTTTAGAATTCACCATCAGGATGTAGGTCAAATCTAGGTGGGAAGGCAAATCCATCGAATTGTGGTTTGACGGGCGGCCTGTGTCCCTAGAAAATAAGAATAATGATCATTAAAATATTTTCAAAAAATAATGACTTATTAAGTCAATTAATGATTTTAGTTGCAAATTTTTACATGCGTACAGATTTACTAAACACCACAAATATAAGATTATGTTTTTGTAGAAAAGTAAGGTATTTATCATGGTTTAAAATAAGATGAAATTTTTATCTCTAAACAACTAAATGCATGTTAAGGAGAACCAAGTTATATCAGGTATGTGCAACTAATCTGCTAGAAACTATTTGGGTTCATAAATAGTTCATGAACTATAAAACTTACAAATTAATAAATAGATACAATCATAGAAGTTACTCCAATGGCAACACTTTTCTTGGTTTTTGAGGCTGGAATAGTAATTATTCCATTAAATCAATAAACTTAATTTTTGAGTGTAAATAAAATTTTTTATAAAGTGTTTGTTAAAAAATCTATTTGCAAGCTATGTGCATAATAAAATTTTAAAAATTTAATGAATTTATAAAAATTATAATTATTAACTATATTTGAATAAAATGTATTTAATATTTAATTCTGTAATTTTACGTAATTTGCATTTTGCCTCTACTCTATGTAAGCAATAATTAATTAACTAGATAAATTATTTATACTTACAATTGGACTTCCACCTCTTGCGGTGGAACCTGATCTACCCTTTGTTCTAAATTTAGCAATTGCCTGTTCAGCCAGATCAGCCCTCTCTTCAGCTTCTTCCAACTCCTGTTGGGCCTTACGGAATTTAGCCAAGTTAAGTGCAGCAATTTCTTCTGCTTCTTCAATTTGCCTTTTGTATGTTTTGATTTTTTGTTGAAGTTTGTCAACCAAGTCTTGCATACGTTCATGGTTCTTTCTATCTTCATCTCCTTGGAAGCTAAGCTCCTTAATTCTACGTTCTGATTTACGTAAGTTCTTCTGTGCGTCAGCATGTCGGCGTTGTTCGCCGTCTAGTTCATTCTCCAATTCTCGTACTCTTTGTTCGAGTTTCTGAATAGCTTTCTTTCCTCCTTTAAGAGCATTATTTTCGGCTTCGTCCAACCTTACCTGTAAATATTTGAATGAGTTTAAAAATTATATAATATTTATTAATTATTACAAAGATAATATTTTATAATTTTTGTTTTACAAATAAATTAAAAAATTTTACTTACTTGTAATTCTTTAATTTGTGTTTCTAAAGCTTTCCTAAGTTTTTCTTGGGTTTGTGCGTGATCTTGTTCGGCTCTTAATTCATCAGCTAATCTGGCGGCATCAACCATTGCTTTCTTAGCCTTCTCCTCAGAGTTTTTGGCTTCGTTCAAGAGTTCATCCAAATCAGACTATAAAATAAAATAAATAATATTTATTAATTCCATTTTAATCGAAATGGAAGTTCATTACGTGTAAGGTTTGCAATTCTCCTTCCAACTTTCTCTTGGCAGCAGAAATGGATGTTGCTTGAGCAGATAATTCATTGAGTTGTTCATGAGCATCGGCTAATTCTTGTTCAACTTGTCTTCTGCCGCGGTCAGCTTGTTCCAATAATGTTCTTGATTCTTCTACTTCATTTTGTAAAGCGTTGGCTCTCCTTTCGGAAATTCCTAATTGCTCTCTTGCGTCTTCTCTTGCTCTTGATTCTTCTTCAAGAGCAGTTTGAACATCCTTCAATTGTTGTTGATAACGTTTAATATTCTTTTGAGCTTCAGCATTAGCCTTATTAGCATGATCTAAAGCAATTTCAAGTTCATTGATGTCAGCTTCCAACTTCTTTTTCATACGGAGAGCTTCAGCTTTTCCTTTAGCTTCAGCTTCTAAGCTAGCTTGCATTGAATCCAAAGCGCGTTGGTGATTTTTCCTAAATTTCAAATTTAATTTATAATTTTGCATCATATAAATTAATAATTAGTTATCGCAATTCAATGTAATTTAAAAGTTTACTTACCTGGTATTTTCAAATTCTTCTTCTTTTTCTTGGATACGTCTGTCAATTTCTTGTCTTACCTGAGAGAGTTCTAATTGGGCTCTTAATACTTTGTTTTCTTCTTGTTCCAATGCAGCTTCAGCTTCTTCTAATGCAGCTTGGAGTTCGTCTTTTTCAACTTCTAATCGTTTGCGTTGCTTTTCAATTTCATGAATATTCCTTCCACCTTCACCAATTTGGTCTAGAAGATCTTTAACTTCGTCTATTCAAGTAAAAAAAAGTATATAGGTTATTTTAAATAACATTTTTTAATTATTGTCAACTATATAAATAATTAATAATTAATACATTAAAACTATACAAACCAGCTAAGTTTTTATTTTCACGTCTAACGCCTTCCAATTGTTCTTGAGCTTCTTCGTATGCTCCCTTAAGACGGAACAATTCAGTGGAATAATTTCTACATTCTTTTTGGCTAGCATCTAACTCTGCAGCCAAATCATCAACCTTGAGTTTCCATTCTCCAATAATCTTGTCAATAGCTTTAGCTTTCTTTTCAGCAGCGTTAGCAATAGCTGTTGCTCTATCTACTTCAAGTTGTAAATCTTCAACTTCAGTAGCCAAACGTTGTTTCGTTTTTTCTAAAGCTACCACCTTTTGATTGAGAGATTCAATAGTTTCTTCAGCTTCAGCAAGACGAGCTTGAAGTTTACGCCTTAAAAAATGTATAAATTTACAGTAGTTTATAAATAATAATATTTTATTATAATTGAAATAAAACATTTGTTTTAATTACTTGGCTTCTTCTAATTCTTCAACTCTTGCAATACCCTCCGATTCATATTTGGTACGCCACAATTGAACATCAGCATTAGCTTTGCTCAATTGTCTTTGAATATCAGCTTTAGCTTCAGCTTCTTCTTCAAGTTGTTCACGGATATTGTCAATGTCGTGCTCTAAGTTTCTAAATTTGCCCAATAGGGTAGCACGTTCCTAAAAAGAATAATTTAATTGATAAATTATTTATTAAAAAGTATATATATATTAAATTTTGGTTAAGAAAAAAATACTAACTCTTCCTTCTTCGTCGGCCAATCTCTTTGTATCTTCCAATTGAGTAGTAAGAGAAATTTTGATTTTAGCTAATTGAGAAACCTGAGATTCAGCCTCTTCCAATTGTCGGAGTAAATCAGAGTTTTCAATACTCAACTTCTTTTTAGCTGCGTCAAAGTCGTTTAATGTACGGTTAGTCTCATCAAGTTTACCTTGGACTTCATTAAATTGGTGTTGTAATTGCTTAGCAATTTTTTCTGTTTGAGCCTAAAATTATTTTAAAACGTTTAAATTATTCATTACTTATTATATACATATATTTTTTTTTTTTCGTTAATTGAACTATTATAATGTTACAACACAAAACAAAAATAAATATTAGTAAAATAGAACAAACATAACACACTCTAATATATTTATTGTAAGCAGCAATAAAATAACATAAACTAAACAAGAAAACTAATAACATAGGCATAGTATAAAAATATTTATATAGGTTTTGATTATTAGTAACTTTTTTTTTTTTTATAAAAATCTGATCATTTGCATTTAATTAAAAAAGTTATTAGATAATAATAATTTCTATAACCTAAAAACTAATCTATGTCTATGAATTGAATTTTAATTATTTTTTATTGAATTTTATATTTAAATAACACCTTTTTTGTCATCACGTTGACACGTTGTCGACAAAATGAATTCGATCTCTACTGTGGGCGTCGACAACTTGTTAAAAATACATTATTATAAATAAAAAAAGAAAAGTATTTACCATACTTTTAATGTTATATTTTCTAAACGACATTTATAAAATTATAGTATATAATACAACTACTCAATTTCAAAAAACTACCAAATTAATATTTTAAGGAAGATACATGAAGCTTTTAAATAAAATTAATTTTTAAGTAAATGACAATCACAAAAAATGAAATTTTTCCTTTTGAAGCTACATTTTGAGAATTAAACCAACCAACCTTTTCATTAGAAATATGATCTAAGCTTGCTCGTGTATCGTTAAGTTCACATAAGAACTGGCATTTGTCCTTTTCAGCTCTGATAATCAAGACATTGAAGAAATTATAGTTATTGTAAAAATCATGCAATGATATTTTTGACCAAAAGAAATAATCCCTAACAATTAATATCTATACTTCCTAGATTTTAATTTATGTTTTATCACTAGTAATTTCGGTAATGGTAAAAACATGCTGACATAAAAATATATAATTTGGATTGTTTATATCATTATCATTCATGACCATGCGATATTAAACACAAAAAGATAGTTTTCACCTTTTCTCTAGAGATTAAATCAACGGCAGCTCTAGTATTGTTTAAATCATTGGAGAGATAATGTGAATGGTGTTCAGCCCTAATTTAACATATTTTTCTTAATCAACATAATTTTTGAATTTAATACAATCAAATTTCATCATTTAAAAATTCAAAAATGTGTTAAATAAAAGTAAGAATTTCTTCGAGTCCTCTACATTAAATTTTTATAGTGTCAAAATTATAAATTGTACATAAATTTTGTTTCATTAAACTAAAATAAATAGTCTATTAAAAAAATAATAAATAACATAATTTAATACATACTTAGTTTTGAGTTTGTTCAATTGGTCAATTTGGTCTCCCATCTCAGCAACAGCGTCGTTATGCTTCTTACGCAAATTAGCCAATGTAGCTTCATGCTGAATATTGGCTTCCTCTAAGTCACGTCGGAGTTTGCTCATTTCAGCTTCTCGCTTTTTGTTCAACTCAATTTGAGCTGAAGTAGCACCACCAGCTTCTTCAAGACGTTCTCCCAATTCTTCCAGTTCGCGAGCCAAATCAGCACGTTGTTTTTCAGCCTAAATAATTTTTATGCGTTATACTTTCAATTTAATACATTACCTATTCATTGGGAGCATGACCTCTAATCTACCATTGAATATGTCCTTGATTATACTTATTTGAATTAAAGAATTTAACGTTTTTAATAATTACATTAGGTTTTAAAAGTCAGCATTAATTTAAAAATCTTTAATAACATCCTATCATATTTTAATAACAAAATAAATTTATTTTTTATTATACAGAATGTTCAGTAAGTAAGGAAAAAGGTGAATTGTTACAAACAATGAGAACAATATAAACCCGTTTCCCTACTAATTGAATACCCTATATCACTTTTAAATAAAATAAAATTGATGTATTTTATTACCTTGGCACGTGCTTGCCTTTCAGCTTCAACTTCTTCTTCGAGTTCTTCAATTCTCGACTGGAAATATTATTAATAAAATTATGAAATATATTACAAAACAACAATTATTTTTTATTTAACCTGAAGTTCTTTAATTTGTTTTTGTTGTTTTCCAACTAAAGCTTGTTCGTCTTCTAATTTAGCAGTTAAAGAAGCTAACTCCTTATCCTTCCTTTGAATTGTTTGTTCGAGCTCTTTTTTGTTACGCTCAAGGTCGGATACAGCTTCTTGAGTGAGTTTTAGGTCACCTTCAGTTTTTCTTTTACCTTTTTCAATATCACCTCTTAATTTCTTTTCGCGTTCTAATGAGTCTTCAAGCTCATCCAAAGTTTGTTCCAACTTATTCTTAACTTTGTTGAGGTGATTAATTTTATCTTCAGCCGCCTAATAAGATCAGTCCAAAAGATTACATAATTAAATTGCTTATTTTTAAAAATGTGAATTTTTACTCTAATTTTTTTAAATTTTATACCTGTAATTCTTCGGCAGTTTTTTGGGTAGTTTCTGAAGATAATTTCTTTTCTTTATTTAATTTATTGATCAACTCATCTTGATGAGCAATTTCGTCATTTAAGTTACGAATTTGGTGATCCTTTGATGCCTTATCTTGATCTGATTTTTGGATAGCTAATTCCAAATCTTCGACATCTTTCTTGAGGCCTGAATTTTCTTGTTCCAATTTCTTTTTTTGTTGGAAAAGTTGATTGCGGGCATCTTCTTCTTGTGTTAGCCTTTCTTGGCATTCCTATAGGATAAACATAAGATCAAATCAATAATTATAAGTAAGGTAAGTGGTCTAGTACTGAATATCTCCCAACCATCGATATTACTTGAAATATTGAAGCTGTCTAGCATAAAAGTTGAATAATTTTGTTTATTTAGTAATTTGTGATGAATGAGTTTAAAAACACTTATTTTTACATTAAAATATGTTATGAGTAATCAAATTCCATTTAATGAAATGACCTTTTCAATTTTTTTGATCTTAATTTTAATTTAGGTATGTTTTTGTTTAATATCGCTGTAAGTATTAAAATTTAGAAATAGATCAAATTATAATTTAACAATTATTAAATTTATATCCAAATATTAGAAGATAATTCACAATAAAAAATTTGTTATAAAATTTTGATAGTAAGAAGTAAATATCATTTTCACTTTAAAATTAACAAGTATTGCAGTTGTTTTAACTTTTCACTTGTCACTTCTATGTTGCATCTTTTGAATTCAAAGCAACTTGATAAAAAAACGAGTAAGAAAAAAATATCTACTTTTCATATTTATAATCCAAAAATATATTTTTAAACCATTCTCCAGAAAGTTTTTTAATCTTAATTTTGTTTAATTATCTTTTTATTTTGAATTAATTATATCCTATGTGCATTTAAATAAATTAAGTTTTATTTGTACGTCAGAAATTAAAATGATTTATAAATATCATAAGAAGAATTTTGTTAATTTTTATTACGTTTACCTCAGATTCTCGTATAAAATTATTTTTATTAATATTAACTCCTTTTTTATTATATTTTTTAATTGTTGAGTAAATTATTTTATGTACTTAAATTTTGTAAAATTTGTTAAATTTTAAACTTTTAATGTTTATATAAATCGCTTATAAATTTGATAAAAATTAAAAAACATTTTTTCAAAAATATTTTTATTAGTCGAAAATACTTCACTAAATTCTTGATAATGATCAAATACAATAGGCTAATAATGTAGACTAAATTTTAATCACATTTGCTATCTCAGAGATTCAAGAACAGAAATAAACGAGACATTAAATTATATTTTTAAAGTTTGATAAATTCTAAAAGAATCTTATAAATAATGATAAATATCTTAAGTTTTAGACGTATTGATCTATTTCCAGGTACATTAAAAGTAGTTCCATGTTATCATCGCCCCCATGTTACAATTTATTGGTCTATTCTGTGCCAACAAATTCTTTTTGACTTGTTATACGAAACCGTATTATGCCAAAGTCGATGAGATATGATATAACTGTATAATTATCACTGGACTACTATCCTAATCTGGATTATTCATCAGATTTTAAAATAGACCACCCCACCGAGTATTTTAAGGATATTGTTTCATAGTGCTATGATACGTTTAAATATACATTAATTGATAAAAATAATTTTCTATTTTATGTTTTCTGTACATTTAATTTATTAAACGGCAACTACCCAGAACATTATTGGTTGATATTTAAAGAAATATATATTTTACACAATGCATATTAATAATGGCGAGATAATAATGACCTTAACTATCTTACTTCCTACTGAAATATTCAAAGAACTAAATCCGGTAAATCTATGATATCATATAATAAAATTATTTATAAATCTTTAAATTATTTTCTGAAAATAGATAAAATATTATAGTACTTAAATGTTTCTTACATCGTATTTAATTTAAGTCTAAAGCTATAAATTAAGTTAAACTAAATAGTTTTAAAACTAGTAATAGTTAATAGTTCCTTTTATTCAATTGGATTGTGTAGTATAAACGTAAATAAAATTTAAACTTTATTTTTAAGTTTCAATAATAGATTTTCTAGAGAAAATGTTTCACATGAATACGATGTAATATATCTATTCATTAATATTTTTATATGATCAAAAAAAGACCAAATGTCATTGATTTAGGGAAAAAGAAGTTAAAGTTTATTAAAAACAGCCAAGTATATTTGGCTCCATTGTTTTATATAGTACAAAGTACTTATTTAAAATTTATCAAAAGTAAATCAAAGAAATTGTTAACTTACCGCGAGTTGAGAATCCAAGTCGCTTTTTTGTGCCGCCAATTTTGCTGCTCTTTCTTGAAGACTGGATAAACTGCCTTTTTCGTTCTCCACTGATTGAAGTAAATTCTGTTTCTCTGAGAGTAATTTGGCATTAAGAGCCTCCAGTTCTTTACGTAATTTCTCTTCCTTTTCGAAAGCAGCTGTTACCTTTTCTACTTCTTCTTCTAATCTCTGTTTAGACAATTCTAAATTATTTAGTTGCTCCATCGCGGCACTTTGATAGAGAGACTAGTACTCCAGACCACGCGTGTTGAGACTAGATCTTAAACGTTTGCCTCGAGGTCTCAAGAAATATCCTGTGTAGGAGTAATAGTAACGCGAGATTTGGGAGGGGGCCACGATGAGTGCATATTTAGCTATGCAACATTGGTAGTGATATTTATAAAATTATATTTAATATTTTAATAATAGATGATGTGATGAATCTTTTTATTAAAGAAATTAATGGTTATAAAAAATGTATTTTGTAATTAATTATAAAAATATCAGAATATAAAAGTGCTTAGGTCAATGATCACAGTGGTTAAGTTTGAAATTAACAGATAAAGTGGAAAGAAATTTATATTTATTTAATTTAAGAATATATAAACACAGCTGTTTTTATATAATTCTTTGGTGTAAGTTACAAAAATTCAAAAAATAAACAATAAACAATGATAATTGTATCTATTAATAATTTGAAATGTCTCTTACTACAAAAATAATGATGAAGTATTCATTAAAAATAAAATATTTTCATGTGTATGATTTATAAACAATGTCTCATTGATATATCATTATTTATTTATAAGAGCTATGGCTATTTTAAATGAAATTATTAAAAACAAATAAAAATTTTCAGTTGTGATCATTTTACCTCGATAAGTCACTTAATACGAATCGTCATTGGTTTTTTTGAAATGCGTTATATTACTATTGAAATATATTGTTATATGTTTATTAAAGGATTAAGAAATAAACTAATTTCAGTTTTTGGCAATATTTCATAAAACTAGTAAATTAATTAATCTATATTATATCTATTAAGAAAATTTAAAAACTAGAATAACCGAAAAAATATATATATTGGTTAATTTTGGTTTTTAAACTTTATATTATTGTTTTATTGTTAATAATAGTATTTTGTTAATACATACTCTTAAATCTTCTTCAATGTTTTGTACATTCAATAATGGCTTGACACGAGACCACATCTTCCACCATGGCCAAGATCTTAATTTCATATACTTTCTCAAGCTTCTCTGAATAACCAATAGAGCCAATCTACAAAAAAATCGAGAAAAAATTAGTATAAAACAGTATCACACCGATATAATTTTCAATGATTAATGCTTTAATATCGTAAATACTATATTTATCATGTCTTTTTCAATTACCTTTGATCTTGTAATTTCTTGAATTCTTTTCTGGAAATGTATCCACGAATGTATGACTGCAACCATCCAATGATTTTACTAAGACGGTCATCACGTAATTCTTCCATCTGACCCAATACTCCAGCACGGAAGAATACCTATTTGTATAATGAACATCAAACATTTCAAATTAGAAACTATTTAATTATATTTAGTGTAATAATGATTTATAAGTAATGTAATAAGCGTGAATGGAAGCAAATAAAACTTGGAAATTTATAATTTTAAACATGAAAAATGGACTGGTGTAAATAAAAAAAACACGTTTAAGTTTAGTAATTGTTCCAATTAACAAATATTAAGATGATATGTAAAAAAGTTAAATCATAAGAATATTTTTTTCCAAATTTCAGCGTGATTATTAATATGTTGTAACCAAAAAATCAATAATACATTGTGTAAAAGCAAAATTAACTAAAATTATAGGTTAAATTAAAAAAAAATACTTAGTATTTTTATAAATTACATACTCACATAAGAAAATGTTCATGCGTAGCTCAATTTTTTCAAAATAAATTATAAATACATTTTCGATATTTTAAATTATAAATTATTATCATTTTAATACAAATTATTTTTCCAATAATCAATTATTACAACAATATTATGATGAAACGAATGTAAAATGCTTTAAAAATAAAGTTATTGACAATGACCTAAATCAATGTCCATGAAATGAATGATGGCGCATAAATGTTTCTTAACGTGTTAGTCTATTATATTTTCTTCAATGGCGTAATCCTAAAGTTTATTTAATTGATATAAATTTTTAAAAATTATGGAAGTATAAATGCGTAAAATAATAATATTATTAAATATGTTAAATTTTCAGATGAGTTGTAAATATTTATTTTAATTATTCTTATTGTCAATTTTTGTTTTTATAATGACAATGATAATGATTATTTATATGAAATATTTTTATTTATTTATTTATCCTCAATTTAATTATTAAAATTACACCATTGTTAATTTTATGCACCAATGAAATTAGAAAATGAATGTAAACGCCATGTTAACAAAAATTCCGAAAATATACCTTAGTGTGACCCAAACGATATTGTTCAGGGTCAAGTTCAATGCCTTCCAGAATTGTTCTAGATGCTTCGATTGGTGACATAGAGTCTTTCACACCTTTAGGGTACAGTATTTTGTACCTTTGATGGTGAAACACACATTTATTTAGGTAAGCGGTGGAACATGAAAAAACCAAAAAACAAGCAAGGATAAAACAAAACATCGTCTTTCAGTTTTGATGTCAGTAGTTAATTATAAATTTAAGAAATATAAATCTACAAAATAATTTCATACTTTTTAATATCATTTTATCTTATGGATGTTGATATTAATTAATGAAACTTATTGAATACTCAATATCAACATTGGGTAAATATATAAGCTGGCTGCTCATGCTAAATCTAATCTAATATTAGTAAAACATTGGCGAGCGTCATTGAAGTAGTTAATATGCCTTATGCCTTTTGTATACATTTTTTTGCGCATAAATAAAATTCAGTCTTTAAAATATATTATCTAGCGAAAAATATCGGCAATGATTTGAGATCACTTTTTAAGTAAAATGCAAATAATATTAAGCAATTTGAAAAATATGAGAATACTGCACGCAAAATATTTCCTATTCTTTTATTTAAAACATGCCTTAGTATGGCCGAGTCTGAATTTATCAGTATCCAACCCAACGGTTTCCAAAATGATAGCAGCGCATTTCTTCGGATCAGATTCATTTTCAACTGCAGCTGGCGCTAATATCTTGTATCTATTATTTTGAAAATTTATTTGAATGGAATTTTAAGCAAAAACAGAATATAATGTAGTACTCAAGTTTAAGTACTATGCTATTTTTCTTAAACTACACTGACGCTGTAAAATTAAACTAAAGGTTTCTAGGTAGGAGTGGTTGCAATACATGTGAATTGTTAAATAATATGAATAGGATTTACTTATGTAAGAGTAGCACAAATTATTGGGTTTAACAGAGGTATACAATTTTTTAAATAAGAACATGCCTTTGTATGGCCAATACGATAACTTTCTGGATCTAACTGAACTTCTTGAAGACATTTTGATGCTGCTATTTTAGGATCAGACTCAGCTGCCATAGTTGCTGGAGCTAATATCATGTATCTTTTTCCATTAGGAAAAAAATTAACGCAATAAATAAAAAAATAATATTGCAAAATTATGTAATAAATTTTATGAAGAAAATGTTCATCCATAAAAAAGGGTATACATTCAGTATATAAATATTTTAATAAAAATACAATTGAATTTTTCATAAAATTATTATTTAGGTTTCATAATTAATATTCGTTTAATTACATATTTTTATATGAAATTTATTATATTATACTTAATAAATAATTGATTCTTACCGCATTTTGAAGTCAGGATATACCATTCTGTTGGGGAAACCTTTACGACAAATACGGATACCTTCAAGCACACCGTTACATGTCAACTGATGCATGACCAAATGAGAATCAATTACACCTTAATATGAAAACTTGTTTTATATTTTATTACTTTAGTTTAATATATAATTGATAAGCAAATTTCAAAAAAAAATTTGAGGTTTATTAGATAATTTTTTCTTTGTAAATGTCTTTAACGGGCAAATTTTCAAATTTTTCGTGTTGCCCCTTATAGTGAAATTTAATAAACTAGGAAAAAGTATAATCTAAATGATTTTTAATTCGAATAAATCGACTTACCAGGTTGTTTCAATTCATTGGGAATGATACAACGTACAAAATGAGGTTGAGTACTCTTCAAAGTTGTCATCAAATTGTTCAATTGTTCCTAAAATGGGCAACACAAAATTATAATAATTAATTTCTTTTTTAATAAAATTTCATTATTTAGTTGTACAAGACAAAAACAAATTATACACAAAATATTATAGTACATTTATTCAAATTAAGTGTTTAGGTTTTATTTTAAAATAACATGAAAAGCAAACGGTCACATCATTTTCTTAAATCAATTCTAATTTAAAGTAAAAATATTAACAAAATATAAAATCATAGAAATGTTAGGATGCAAATCAATTTTGTTAAATGAAGTAGTTAAATCATTTTTCAGTTTAATTTTACACTACACTACTCTAATATTTTACATAAGATATTTATACAATTTTTTAGTTTTATATAACATCTATATTCCGTTTTTTACGGGTTTCCAGGCCTTTTTATTAGGTAGGTACTAAATAACAAGTGTCGGGTATACATCTAGTAAAGGTATATCCATTGACAATTGATAGTTGGTAGTAATTATTTCTATATATTTTATACATTCAAGTATAGGTAAAAATCAAACATAATTGCCAAATTTGTAGAGTTTATTTTGTGTCCTTTTCAAAACAACTCATTTCATTTGCATGATTTTTTCAAAATTGGCATTTCATTAAAATACAAATATCAAAACTATAAGATGGTATGGCTAGTCTACAAATTATATACCTTATAGGAAGATGATACAGTGGCGAAACCACCACCTTTCTTGCCACGACCTCCTGAATATTTTTAAAAAATTGTATGAAATTAAACGAGTTGATACTAACAAATCATTATAAATACAATAATTAGATTTTATTCAAATTATTTTCTTCGAAGAAATATTCTTTGAGTAGATTCGTGTGTGTATTGTTTTGTGTTAATATGACGATACAACAAAATAATAAAGTATAAAAAAAGAGTGATTGTTTAAGTAATATGTCATTACAAAGCAGTTTCACATAAAAGAATTATTTGTAAAATTTGTTTTTATAAAATTACCCTGTGTAATGTTGAAACTGTCATGAAACCTGAACCCTTAACTCGTTTACCACCTATTCCATTAAATATTATTAATAAAAACAAAATGCAAGTAAAATTTTCAATATTAAGCCATAAGTATAGCCAATAGATAAATTTAAAGTATATTAGTCATTTATTTAATTAATTCTTACAAACTGATTATAAACTATCATAAAAATATATTTTTAAAGTGTTTCCTGTATCTTAATGATTATGCACATATAATAGATTAATTATCGTGAATTTTTTTAATTTTGTTTTATTGAGTGAATATTATAGACAGATTATTTTACCTTTGCCACCGCCGGCACCAGCGTCACCACCAGACTGACCTGGATGATCAGCGAATATCTCAACCAGAAGTTTGTTAGATCCCTTTTTGAATTGATCTACTACAGTATCATTCAATGGATCTTTGTTCTTTTCTAACCAACCAGTAATGTTGTATGATACCTAAGAAATATATTTATAATAATATACTAAACATAACTAATATTTATTTATCTATTAGGTTACTTACAACACCAGCATAATGAGCAAGAGCGAAGTGGGCTGCTTGGCAACCAGGTTTTGGTGGAGCAGGTTTTCTAAAGTTGGGTGATTTACCTAAATGATTAGTGTTTAATTTTTCTTCGAATGTCTTATCAGTAGCTTTTGGGAACATAGATTCTTCTTCAAGAATGGATAGGATACCCATTGGCTAGAAAAATTAAATAATAATAATTATTATTTATTTTGATCATATTATTTGTTTAAAGCATTTTCAAACACATTTAAATGTAAAAACCAATTGAAATTTTTTTATTAAAGTATTTAATAAAACATATATGCTGAAAATAAAAAAGTATGATTTTTATCTATTTAAATGTGCTTTAAAATGTTTTTTAATCCAATAAAAAAATGCACGAGTCTTATTTGTACAATATTTGGGAAAACACCATGCAAAAATTCTATGCTACAAAGTATTCTTTTAACTACAGGTGACCAGAATGTCATTGTTTCTGGTTTAAATAAAAAATATACCTACTATTTTTTTCTTTCAGCCCAATCATTAATTTCCTATTGATACTTTAATACTTTGCATTTTATATGATTTGACAGATATTGTCAAAATTATTATTTTTTTCATACAAACCTTTTCAATAAGATCAATACATTGTTGTAAGTCCATGCCAAAATCAATAAAGGTCCATTCGATACCTTCACGTTTGTATTCTTCTTGTTCTAATACAAACATGTGGTGATTGAAGAATTGTTGTAATTTTTCGTTGGTGAAGTTAATGCAAAGTTGTTCGAAACCATTGAACTATTCAGCACAAACGAAAAGGAAACAAGCAATAAAGTTAGCATGCATAGATAACATAAATAAACAAACAAAAACTGAAATATCTAATATTTTAATTAATCAATAACTACTGATAAACGGCGTGTTTTTTATTACACGTTTGAAAAACCTAATACATTATTCTTTTCCTCATTAGTCAAATGGAGGATCGATCCCGAAATCATAAAATTTTATAGCTTTGAAAATCAGCCGCCTGTTTTAGGTTGTGTTACCTTTTCAATTAACTCAATACAGGCAGCTAAATCCATTCCGAAATCAATAAAAGCCCATTCAATACCCTCACGTTGGTACTCTTCTTGTTCGAGTACGAACATGTGATGGTTGAAAAACTGTTGTAGCTTTTCGTTGGTGAAGTTGATACAAAGTTGCTCGAACCCGTTGTACTTTAAATTAAGTATCAACATCATTAGATTCAATGGGAAAACAAGACTAGGTCTACTTATTATTTGGTGAATAATTTAAATGAAATACATAAAATTATAAATTTGGGTAAAGTATTTAAAATACTGATAGAATTGAAGGGACATAACGCGAAAAAAGCATACCTATTATATATATAAAAAAACAAATAACTATGGTTAAAATGGTACAAACGTGTAAGTATAGGAACATTTCTTCATTCGGGAAGGAAAATATAAAATAGAGTCATCGCATTCGATATCATCATTTCATCAAGTACCTTTTCAATTAAGTCGATACAAGCTAAGAGATCCATTCCGAAATCAATGAAAGCCCAATTTATACCCTCTTTTTTATATTCCTCTTGTTCTAATACAAACATGTGATGGTTGAAGAACTGTTGAAGTCTCTCGTTAGTGAAGTTAATACACAGTTGCTCGAAACCATTATACTGCGATGATTGAATGTGAGTACGAATAAAACAGGTATTTTTTTAAGATATTTTAGGGTCAATTGATTACTTGAAACTTTTTTTTAAAAAATGGAAGAAAATTATAAATTAAATAATATGGTTAAAGAATAGAAGTTAGAAAAATTTATTGTACAAATTTTAACAAAATAAAATATGGATTATTTTATGATGAAATATTTTATACAGAATACCACCTTCAATAACCTTAGAAATCTGGAAATATTTTATTTGAAAAATAGTAATGACTTAATAAAATTTATAGTTCAACAAAATTATTATTTTTAATTAATTATTATAATTTAATTCATTATTATCAAATAATTATTACTGCTTAAGAATACTCACGTCGAAAATTTCAAAACCAGCAATATCCAATACACCAATAAAGTGTTGACGTTTTTGTTGTGTATCCAGAGTTTCGTTACATTTTTTTACTAAAAATTTGAAAAGTCTGTCAAACATACCTTTCGACATAGCACCAACAGAGTAAGCAACCTAAAATACCATAAAATCGAATGTTTAACAAGATATTTGATTATTAGAAATTAATTAATAATAGCTATCATTAATAAATTGAATTACCTGATCCTTATTACGACCTTGTGTTACGAACTCATTTCCTACTTTAATTCTTGGCTTCAATAAATTTTTGTATAAATCGTCACAATCAACACCCAATAATTTTGCAACTCGAGCACCTTCCTGTAATTAATTAAAATTAGTAAAGATGACCTTTAGTATTATTTTGTGTATTTTGAATTCTCACCTCAGTACCGTCAGCTTCAGCTTGTTCTTCACGACCACGTTGTTTGAATTTCATTCCACCCATGTGCATAACAGCAGCAGTGATTTTATAAATATCATTCTTTTCTTCTTGGGTAAATCCGAGAACATCAAAGGCTTGCTGTTTTTACACGAAACATTTAATTAGTTTAACAAAGAAGAGATCAAAATTAGAGTTTTAATTTTAAATTCAAGAAAAAATTAATTATTTATTCATAATAAGTTAAATTTTATTGGTATAATTGAAAATTAAGTAAGTATTAAAATTTTATATATGTAAAAAATTCATCATAAAATAATAGAAATTAAATTAAAAATTATAAAAAAATAAAGGATTATTAGTTGGAATTTTATCAAAAAGCAATACAAGCAATAATATAAAAATACTATTTCACATAAAGCAAAAAACAAAGAAAAAGCAATAAGACGCAGAAAAAAAAACAAAACATGTACTTAATTTCAACTTACAACGTTATAAAAATCTTAAAACTTTTTAAAGGTAATACCAAATAATCGATATAAATTATTTATAAGTATTATGTAAATATAATGCATGGCTATAATTTTACAATCATTAAAAAAATATTTATAGTATTGAAAATTATCTTTTGATTATACATCATTGCTTCAAATTATTTTGAATTCTAGAAATGGCTTCCGATTTCAATATTTTTACAGAACAATAGGTTTAATTACTATTTTTATTTTTAATTTATAATGATAAACACTGTACAAAAATTGACTTACATCAGTAAGTTGAAATTCTTCTCCATCATCCATACCAGGAATTGTAATTTTTCCTTGAGATACCGTATAGTAATCATAGATGTTGTCAGTTAACATACACATGTCTGCCAAAGCAAGCAATTATATGGAAGCTCGTTAAAAAAATTAACTAAATATTTCGTATTTGAAACAAATTATTAGTTTTACTAACAAAAATGCAAACAAAAATTATTGAAATTCTATTATCTTCAAATGAATATCAGATATATTCATCTATTAATATTACAAAAATTAAAAAGTGTAGTAAATTAATGATAAGACGCTCATTTTCTCAGTAACCATTAAATATCTTCAATTTTATCCAAGAAACAATTGTTTGATTTAAAAAAATGTATTTATTATGTAGTTAAATAATTTAAATTAATAATTTAAATAAATAATTTAGGAATAAAAAAACCTTACTTTCTTGAATTGGTAACGTTTATTTTTAGTTTCATTATATGATAAAAAAAAATGTTGATCTTATAATTTTTTAATTTAATCAACTTTTCGCATTTTAAAATTGTTTAAATATATGGATTTAAAATAGACATTTATAATTATTTTGGTTTTTCATAATATCAGATGCATCAATAGTATGTTTCAATGGGCCATAAATTATTATTGGTAATAATTGTGAATAAAAAATTATTTTTGTGAAATCTCGATGAGATGACGACTATTGTATGCTAAGCAGCAAATTATAAACAGAAAATTGGGCAGAAATTGCTAAACTTTAACAAGCAGTAACTAATGAACGGTTCATAGAATAAAAAATATCATAAATATAAAATTGTTTGAATTTTTTTTAAGATGTTATAATCCAAAAAGGATGAAAAATAAATTTTTACTACATATTATAGTAGAGTTTTTTGAAACATGTTTTCTTTTACGAAAATTTTATAGTGGTTTATAAGAAAATGAGTGTCTTATCCTTAACAGATCATTCTGAATGCCTAATGAAAATTAATTGTATAAATAGATACCACAATAGAATTTTTAATAATTTACTATAAGCATATTTATCAACACAACAGCAGCTACGTTTCAAAAATCTCAACGCAATTAAAAAAACTAGTAAAAGTAAGTATGCCATAATTTTTAAGTTAAAAATATAAATATAATAAAATCCTTCTATATTCTTTCAAGAAATAGATACCTGGTCAATAATTTAACTCACAGTGCATTTCAGTAACTTTGCTCTAATACTCTAGAACTCTATTTATTATAAAATTTTATGAGTAATTTAATAAATATTTGGTTCTACCTAACAACATTATACTTAACGTCAATTAAATCTATTGAGCATCATTATTTTGAAGTTTCAAATTTTAACCAAACAAATGAAATAGTAGTCTCCGATACAGTTATTTAATTATTTCTGCGTGCAGGTGATATAAAATAATTTTTATCACAACATTTAACAAATACAATACAAACAAATATTTTAATTGATATCAAATTTACAGTGAAGTTAATATTTCAATATTTTAATGTTTAAAAAGAAATAACTTTTGTAGTAAAGTGAATATAGCCAATCATTGCATTATTTTTCACACGCAACAATAAAGCTGTTTGCTATTCAAAATTTCAGATACAATATAAGGATTTAACTTATAGGAATCATTTACGAGTTGGGATAAACTTACATCAGTAATTCTGAATTCCTCTCCATCATCTACACCAGGTATACTAGTCTTTCCTTGGCTGACAAAGTGATAATCGTTTATATTGTTGGACAGGAGGCACAATTCTGGTTAAAAAAAACAAACCCTATTTGTCATGCATTGGGTTTAACGAGCAAAATTTATAAAACTAATAAAATTAATTAATCAATCAAAACATGTATGAATATTCCTATGGTGTTTTACTACAACTAGAAACTACTTAAATGATATTTAGGGTATTCAATAAGTAAGGAAACAGGTTTCCATTGTTCTCATAATTTGTAACAATTGACCTGTTTCCTTACTTTTTGAACACCTGTATACCTCAAAAGTCTAAAATTTTGTAATAAACTTACACATTTTATAATCAGACTTTTGGGCTAACATAATATGAACATGCAAATGATATAATATGTTACGCAATAAAACTTTTGGAAAGATTTACGTCAACGTATAATAGTCATAATGTACGAGTATTTTTCTTTCAATAAAAGGATTTAGATTTTTTCTTCTTACTAAAATTATGTTCATGTACATTATGGTAAGGTTGATAAAAACTCTAAATTCAATACTTTATGTTATACGACTATCAATCTACAATACCAAACAACCCAAATATAGTTTATATACACTATACATTTATAATTCAATCTACTCATTGACAATCTAAAGACTCAGCCAGATGTCAATATAATAAATATAATATTTTACACACTACCGCAATACTAGTGTTTTTGCCTGTACAACAAGTATCAGGTCTCATTTCTATAGCTAATGGTATATTTATTTACGTTCGAGTAATATAAATCAAATAAAAAATAAAATCATCTAAACTAACTAAAATTGTTTGCTTAATAGCGGGTATACGAAAGGGAATATTTGGAAAAGGAAAATTTTGTGAAAGTTTTTAAAAGACCGATTATTAATTCTTACGTCGGTCAATGAAAATTCTTCTCCGTCATCCATACCAGGAATAGTAGTTTTCCCCTGAGACACGTAGTAATAGTCTTGGATATTTTCACTCAGCATGCACAGTTCTGTGGTTAACAACCAATTAGTTATTCGGGTTCAAAAATATTAATATCTTCGTTGACCACAATTTCATTTATAAACAATCGCGTTTAAATTTATAAAACCTAAAATCTCTTATGGATTCGCACTTACCTATTCGCTTATAGGTATTGTATAATGTATAAAAATTACTTCATTTTGTTTAAATTTATCATTAACTTAATTTATAAATGTATTTTCTATCGAATAAATTTGATTGAATATAATTTACCTTTTACGCCTTTCACTGAACCAGACATGATTTGGTAGAAAATGTGGTATGATCTTTCAAGTGCTTGTTGGGAGATGACACGAGCTTTTTCTAATAAATCTTAAAAAATTAAATAAATATATTAGTAGAAAAGTTCTTTATTTTTAATTTTTCCGAAAAATTCGTTTTCACTTACAAGTTTCGATATCAGCTCCTGCTAATTTTCCTGAAGGTCCAAAATGAATACGGATGAATTTACCCTAAAATGAATGAAATAAAATGTTTAATTCTTCGGTTATTTTCTTAATCATGCTATTTAATTCAATAACAAAAATTAATTAAAAATTAACTAACTTCAAAGTTTGATAAAACTTTTATTATTATCGTTTTTTAAATTTTCTTTTATAATAAAATATAATACTTACGAAACGTGAAGAATTATCGTTACGGACTGTCTTAGCGTTACCAAAAGCTTCCAATACCGGGTTAGTTTGGACGACTTGATCTTCCAAAGAACCCTATCCACAAATTAATACAATTGGATTATAATATAATACATTTTTGGGGGGGGGAGGTGAAATAGTAACAATTCTTTTTATTTACCTTCTTTTTAGAAGCTCCAGAAGCTTCATCCTCTTTTTTGGTGCTGGCTCCTACAGTTGCGAAGTATGCAATTACCTTCTTTGTATTTTCAGTTTTACCCGCACCAGATTCTCCGCTATTTAAAAAAAACATATTAATAGACATATTTTTATTAACTTTAATTATTGGCAAAATAATTTTAAATTACTTACGTAATCAACATAGATTGATTTTCTTTGTCTGTAATAAAACAAATAGAAATAATAAAAATAGCTTTTTAACTCTTTAACTAAGGAATATATTTTATATTACAGAAAATAAAACTTCTCAATATATTGCTTGTTTATTTTTTATGATCATTAAAAAAAATTTGTTGATGTATTTCAACACATTTTATTTGATATAAAACATATCATAATGACGTGTTTATTTTCTTATAAGTTTTTGCAAAATAACTTACTTGTAAGCATGTTAACGTATGCACCGTCAGAAATAGCAAAAATATGAGGTGGAACTTCGTTTCTTCTTTTGCCTCTGTACAATTTGGCACATCGATTTGTATACACGGGGAATCTTTTGTAAGGATTGATAGCAACACAGAACAAACCAGAATAAGTCTAATAATAAAATAAAAAGAATATTTATACTTCTAATATAATATCTTAGTAAAATATTTCAAATTTCTATAATACTAAAATACATATACATAATTTTCACATAATTATTGTAATAAATTCATTAAAATATGTGCGAACTACGTTTGGTAAAATAAAACACAATATACCAGTAAAAAAAAATCTACTCTAAATAAAATAAAATTCTAAAACTATTTAAAAATCATTAATGTTTTTACACATAAAATAAGGTAATTGATCAAATTAATTTTTGCGTGCAGGTGTTGTTCTCTTGAACAGGGTTCACCTTTTGCTGTCGGTTTTATGTCCTTTTTTGTCCGACAGCTTAAAAAAAAGCAAAACACTCATAGGATTGTAGGTAAAAGATTGAAATAAAATACAAGGAGATCATTTATATTTTTTTCTAAAAAGAGGATTTGGTATTAATAAAAGAGTATTTTTTTTAACATCTGTTTTTATTATGTTTAATTTGTTTAATTAAAAGATGTCCCATAAATGGAAAATTTTCGTTCGTACATTTATTTATAATATTAATGAATACGAATGAAAAAAATTAAATACATCTTTTGATTTATTTTCGTGTCATGATAGAAATAATGTGTAAGCATATGTAAAATGCTTAGTTTCAAAAGCAAATTTGGGTAATGTAATAAGTGTAAAGGTAGGTTTTGTAGGAATTACGTAAACAGTAACTTCAAAGGTCGGGCTGAACACCAAAAGCACCAAAAACACGTTGCCTTCACGTCTCGGCCTAACACTTACGTAAATGAGTTTATGGTAATATCTTTGTTTCAAGTTATATAATACGGACGCGTCGTTCAAATAAGTTAAGTTGGACATGTCCTCGCATTTTTCGAATTTTGGCGGGTTTACTTGTCCTACTTGTTCCTTTTTGAAATCTTTCACCTGATATACCATAGAATATATAGATTAGTATACTTAGAATAGTTACTCACGTAAATCAATTTGCTGTAGTATCGCTGCCGCAAGTTGTGCAATACGCTGGCGTCGTTTAGGTAAGTCAAATCAGCCATGTCTTCAGTTTTCTCGAATTTCGGTGGATTTACCGGGCACACGAGTTCTTTTTTAAATGTTTTTTCCTAACCAGCCATAAATATTATGTACAACATTAAACATTACAAAAAATTCAATTTTGTATTTTCACGTACTAACTTACCATCAATAAAATTTGAAATTATTTTTTCATTATTTTATTGAAAATTAAAAAATAATGATTAATAAACCATATGACTTTTTTAAATGTACTAAATTCGAATAAAAAATATCGAAGTACTATAATCAAAAAGAACTTTAATGAATTAAGAGTAATTAAACTCGTTAAAAGTGATTTAAATGCATGGAATACTACATGATTATGAAATGATAAATTACCTCTCCATTGGGCAGGGCGACAGTAACTAATTCACCCTTTGTACCACGGATTTCACCTTGAACGAAACCATCTTCTTCGTCTGGTACCCAACAAGCTTTCTTCGCATCGTAGGGTTTGGTTTGATCGATTCTCTTCTGTTCGAGAGAAACGAACAAGTATGGGGTTGGATCTGGATCCTCTCCTTCTTGTTTGACTACACGCGGCATTATTGTTGTTTAATAAACGGAAAAAATTCTACTAAATACGTTTTGCTCAGCTAAACGTCACGCACCCCTCTCAAATGGTGATGTTTGCGACACACCTAGAAATTCATCGATTGTTAGATTTGACGCTTGGATAAAAAATAGTAGTATTGCTGGCTCTTAAATCTCATTATATTAAAAATTATTGTTGAATTAATATTAGTAATGATATTGAATTGTTTGAAAATAAAGTAAATTGGTATCATTTAAAAATATATTAAAACCGATGAAAGTAAATATTACTACATTATCACTTAGTCGCCTTATAATAACTTCAAAGAAAATTTATCGTTGGGATTTCAGTTCCAGCAAAACCGCCAGACATCTGATAATTAACCGTATAGTTTAAAAATAAAACATAAGCCTATAAGCTTAGTGTTAAGTGTCACGCGATTTTTTTTCTACGAAAAGCGTTTTATTGCATATTTTAGGTGCCTGGAGCTGTGTGTATAATTAGAAAGCAAATCTCGAGCCAAATAATGCAAACTCGACGGCCGGACACTGTAGACCAAAATAGACTGAACGGAAGCAAAAGGCTTTAAGATCATTTAATTTCAATACATTTTTATCAAAAAACAATAGCAAATTTTAACATTTTATGCCACAACTTATTTTGTTTTAAAATAATTTATAGTTTTCAATTGCATTGTAAAAAACAAATGAAAAATATTTTATTTTAAACAGCAAATCTTTAAAATATTTTCCCCGAAAATATTCAATGTTGTACTCGTAAATTTATAAGAATAACTTAAAATTTGGTAATATTTACTCTTCTTGTTTATAATTATAATTTAAAAGTTTTTATAGTACTTATATTAAATACAAATTAATAAATCGATAAAACATTAATGAAAATCTTTGTTTTTTATTGAAATTCAAATGAATATTAAATTTATTATATGCTAAAATTAACTTGATGGTAATTTTTGAAGAAATATTTAATCATCGATGTTAGTCAAAATTGAAGTTCTATGTAAACGGTAAAATAATAAAATAAGTATTTAACTTAAGTTAATAAATAATTCAAAGTTCCAGATAGAGAGAAGAGTCCATATATGACTTTCTACTTTAATCCACTGCTGGTGACCTAAGCTACTAAAAATTAGGAATGATTTTTAGTCGAAAACTAAATTTATTGTGTTTTTCAAGACTAATGACATTTAAAAGCTTTGCTTAAATAAAGCTTCACATAGAAATGTAATAAAATTATTCTAGCATAGAAGATTTTTGATAAACAAAGACAAACATTTTAAAATCTTCATAATAAAATTCACATATATTAATGTACTAACAAAATTGAGATTTGAAAATAAAATTATCACACCATTTACTAATATGATTCTGTAAAAAAAAAATACCTATTTAAAAATTGCGAAGAAAATACCTCCGATATAAAATGTAGTAAAATGTTTTAATTTAAAACTATTTGTTAGAATTCTGGCAAGTATTATTCAAGTAATACAAGCTTTGGTAGTAATATATTGAAATTTGGATGACATCCAGAAAAACAAAGAAATATGAAACGATGCGGCCTACATTTGAAGAGACGATAAACGAACTGAAAAAGGAATAATAACACGATGTTTTATTTTTAGACACAATCATATATAATAATTGTTGATGAATGAATAATAGTGAAAACACTTGGCCCGTGGTTCCCCAGAAGTGGAAATACAAAATAGTCTAATGTGTATAAAATGATATGCTTTGTATGTATATAAAGCATTTAATTTTGTACAAATAGCATAATTAAAAGAAAAAATTTTATTCAGAAAACTTAATACAATTATCGAAAAGTTACATATATAGAAAATGGTACCGTTATTCTTAGACCTGGGAAAGGGAAACACACAAATTATTAAATTATACCACAACTCAAGAAGCACGTCCGCTGATGTTAATTTTTGAAGCACACTACACAACAACGGTTTTACTAAATTTTTTCGCACAATAAAAAATACAAATTAAGGCAAAAGCAATTAGAAAAGCCGAGACGAATTCACGTTACGCACACTTTACCGGCGTTTTGTTAACCGCGTTTACTTAAAACGAATAAAAGATTCGCCGAAACACACCTCAACGAGCAATAAAAAATAATGTATCACAACAATTGTCACATAAACCACTCTTACAAATAAAACACAACAGTTGTCCGAGTTGTGGTAGATACCTACTCGGTGGATCAGACCTAGAATGAATGGAACTATACCGTTGATGTTAGCATTTGAAAACCCGTCGATGCCCAGTACCCCCACCACCAAAGCTCTCTATTGGTAGCCGCGATTTTTGGTCGTATCCTTGGGTGTTTTTTCTATTTCGGTAGCACAGTCCGCGGGCGGCTAGCTGCAACGCGATCCTGGTGCTCATGATGAACTCCATGATTGGTCAAATGTGGTACGGTGCAAGCACGTCGCCCCGCTTTACGTCCCTCCGCACCATTCCTCGTCCCGGCACGCGGCCTGCAGGGTCCATTTTTAGAAGGACCGCCATAGTAGCACTCGCGAATCGCCGACGATCCGTCACAGTGACGATGACGGTAACAACTCAAAACGTTTGGACTACAAAAGGGCTTGACATTCATTCACCTATTCTATACAATTACAATTTTAGTAATAATTTTTTCTGTCATTGGCTAGCTGTGACTGCATTTTTTTCCATTAAATTTTTTCTTAAGTTTCGATTAAAAATATAATTTGGCAAAATAGAATATATCTATGAATATTTAATACTCTATTAGATGTAACTTTTATTAAAGTCTGGATTTATATGTAACTCATTTGTAAAATTTTTAAAAATAATTTTTAACTAATCTATGTCAGTAAAATTTTAATTTACGTATATAAAAAAACGTAGAAAAATAAGTTCATTTTAAGGGTGATTTTGTGCACTAAACTAGTTTTAAACTAAACAAAACGAATTTGCGTCAAATGTTGTTGTGTAATTGTTAAAATCAGATATGTGTTTAAGGAAGGACACGAGAGGCAAAGATTTTTTTGATTAAACCTCATTCAAACATTTTTGTTTCAAAAGTCCCTTTAAAAAATTTCCTATAAGCGCTATTGGAATATTGCAACCAGGATAACAATTTTTTTTTCATTTAACGTGTAAATATAAATATATTATACAACTTTAATGTTTAATATTATTAATGTTAAAATGTTATTAATCTTTTTTATTTAACGTTACGATATTTTTACGATTAACTTGAACTGCTATAAGAAATTTAAATAATGGACAAGCGACTAATTTTTTTTTACATCAAGTTTTTTAAATATAAAATAATTCTTTTTTTTTTTTTAATTAAGAACTATTTTATGTTATAAGTAGTATTATGTTTAACAAAACTTTGCATTTATTGATATCACATATTTTTTGGTTTTTTGACAACATTTTTCGTTTTATATATTACTATTATTATGATCTTCATAATGATATTTTTTTTCTTGATTGCATCCTACTTCTCTCTTTATTCGGTTTGGAAGAGAGGTAAATAATACTAGTAAAATAACATCCACTGTAAACAATTTTAGAATCCCCACTACTCATAATTAAAAACAATTATTTGTTAATTTTTCAATGGACACACATGCATTATTACATAGAATGAATAATTATTACATCATAAGAGCCTCGTGAGATGACCATCATTGTTTTATAAATATAAAAGTAATAAAAATATCATACAAAATAATATTTTTTAATTGTTAATCTATTTTATATATGTCTATAATAACTTTTGTTATATAGTCTAATTATAATTGCATATTTTTTATAACAATACTTCCTAACTTATTAAATGTCTCGGAATATTTTAGATTCACGAAATGACTTAATGTATCTTTATTAGATAATTTTTTCGTGAACGGCATTTTGTTGGCATTGTTGTAATGATCACTAAATTGTCTCATTTTACTGTTTTTCGCTTAAAAAAAAGCAAAGAAATAAATTCTGTCAAACACAACTTTTGCCACTTCTATTTTCCCTAGAACTGGAAACTAAAATTAGTATTATTTACAGAGAAAATTCTATTTTTATATTAGGTATTTTCAGACGATACGCTACATTAAAGAAAATAATTATCTCAGCATTTTACTGTTATAATAATTGGTACAATTATGTATTGCATTTCACATAAATTATTTATTTTGTATTTTAATTTTTTTTTTTTAGTCATATTAAATTACTATTTTATGTATAAAATCAATATTTATAGATGGGAATAAATAATTAACACAAATGTGAAATGTCTAAAAGACCAAAAATTTTGTAGTATTTGTTGAGTTAAATATTCTTAATATTTTTTAGTTTTAAATTAATATTATAAATATGTTTTAATCTTAATTAAAATATGTCATTACGAAAACTTAATAAATTATTATAAATAAACATTTTATTATTCATTGACTATTTAGTCAATGAAATGTATGTTTATGCATAGATTTTCTTAAATAAAATTCCAAAAATATAATAATGGTCATGTATATAATTGTAAAATAAAATTTATATTGTATAATTTTAGAGCATAGTTGAAAAAAAATAATTTTATACGATTGTATAAAAATAATAAATTTCAGCCAATCTGTTAAACAATTTTTTTAAGTTTAAACTTCAATAGTTGCATCAAAACTAGAAAAAAATCTTATGACAGTATTATATTTAACATACAAAAGTAATAAAAATAAATAGTTTTAGTATACCTCTTCATGTTTATTAGCATAATGGCCTCGATAATCTTAAGTTCAGTTCCAATTCGATTGTAAATACAGTTATTAATTATTTTATAGATCAATAACACTCAATGGTATTTCAAAAATTAGAATCATTTTAAATGTTAAAAAAATGATATTTAAATATTCAGCCAAATATTTTTGGCATCAATTTAAGTCATATGATTTATTATTTATAATTTATAAAGTTAATTTGCATACATTAGTTTATTTAATAAATATGTTTATCAATAAATGTAATTAAATTTTAATAATAGAAATATTTTGTTTACCATATCTATTTATTGCATTATGAAGCGTAACTATATATTTTTATTTAAATTACTTCCAAAGAATTTAACTTATTTTATTCAAGAAGTTTATTAGTATACTATATTTAAGTTTTTTAAGAGTACAAAGTTATTTTACTTAATCAATTTTATAATAATCACAAGTTTAGATAATTCTGTTTTTGTTAAAAATAAATATAAAATAACCATAACTAGGATAATATATTCAATTTTATGTCGATTTTGTCAATTAACAGAAATTTGGCTAATTGCCTTATACTTAAAGCCACAAAAGGTGTTAGGCTTCTTAACTTAACTAGTTATATTTTAATTGAATGCTATTAATAGTAGATACCGATATCAATCTGAGAACATCGAATTCGTTTACAAATATAAGAAAGCGTTAGACCGTCTGGGCGGCCGCCAGTGTAAATATTCGTACACCTAATTAATTTTCCGCAATTTTAACCATCTTCTTTTTAAATTGAACGCATACATTGGTAACGCTATCTAATTTTAACAACTGCGTTAGGTTTAAGAAGTATACAAATGATTTTTTCATTTGCTAAAAATGAAATGCCGCTCAGTATACAACGTTATTATCGTTCGACCCACGTTCTGATGTTGCCAAAAATGTACGTAAGGGCGATTTGAGCCGAGTAGCAAAAAATAATTCATAGTGTGAATGTTTTCTCAAACTCGTCTTAGAGAGAATAACTAAACGACGTGCGTTATTATGTCAATTTGTCAACAGACCAAGTATGGTATGTACTTGGGTAGAATTTTTAGAAAAAAACATGTTTACCAGTTGAATAACTATGATGAAATTTCATAGGGAAATTTTTTTCACTCAATTATATAAAATATACATATTATAAACAAATATTGAATTAGCATAAGAATATAAAGATAAAGAGAGCTGTTTTTGAAGAAACCTTCCATTATCTTTTTTATTAAATTTTTAGATTCTATATAAAGGTATAATACAGTTTGTTCAATATTTTGATTCACGTCGATGTCTAATGTATAATAATAAATTAACATATTCTTTTTTTTTTTTGTTGATTTTTTAATATCAATAAATTTTTTAATTATTAAACATATTATACGTGTCAATAACATAGGCATAGTGTGGTGGACATTTTTGGAGGAGCTAAATATCATTTTTTCTCTTTCAAAAAACATTTTTTATACAAAAATACAAAACATTTTTCATTATTTACCACCTTACGCCTAATATCATGACGTTTCATATTCAACTCTCTAATAAAAAAAATAACTTTTATTGGATACCAAAAATTATAACTATAGTGGTAAATTTCACTATTCAATATAATGTATATGTGGCTAATATGACACATCAATAGTGGCAAAACCAGAAAGTAATTTCAAGGATGGAAAAGAAGATTATTACCTTTTGTGATCACCAAAAAAAAAATTATGCACCAAAAACACATTTTTTATAAGCTCTCGTAGAAAAATTTTGTATAGTTAAGATCTTGTTATATTAACATGTTATCCAATAACGTAGCCAAGATTTTATAATGAGAGGGGAGCATAGTAATAAAATCTACAAATTTTCATATTTTAAACTTTTGTTTGCTTAACACTTCATTTTAGAGATGAATATTGCTGTTTAAGTTGGGACCGGTCCCCCTAACCTTGGTTACGTCACTGACTTTAATATAAAATTTGACACAAAATATGTTTTACACGTTATCAAGTTTTTTGTTTATCAATTGTTAATATTAATTTTAGAACAATAAACTTATTTTTTTTACATGATATTTAAACAGATAAACTATTATAAATTTATTTTATAAATAAGTTGGTTTCAATATATTTGACACAAGAATTTAATAAAAAAATGTTTAAATAGGTTAATATTATATATTACCCTATTTTTTATTATGCTTTACCATAAAAAATTTTTTTTTAATTATTTATTGATGGAGAAAATAGTTAAAATTCATCTATTAGTTTAACATTATCCAGGCGCTATGGCGTATGCTGGACATCAAATTAATTTAATTAAACAAAAACAAATTTTGTTTTGTAAATATTTCATTTAGACCGACGGCAGATTCAACTGAAAACATAATTAAATTAAACAATACGATATTATTTTTTCTCAATGATATAAATTACTTTTTATCTTTGCAAATATAAATAACTTACCCTTGCAATATAAGTATACATAGTT